CTTTTTTTGTCAAACTGGGCTGGTGACCTAAACAGCCCACTAGAGAATATATTGAGGCTTTCGCGGAAGCCTTTTCCCGAAAGGTACTCCGCTTGTGAACTGTATGACTCCCTTGGTCTGTTTTTTTGTGAACAATGAAGTTTATATTGCTGAAGTTATGCACGCGGAATCCGATTTTATATTGTCCTTCACAGATTAATAAATGGCACAGCTCGCGCGTGGGTTAAAACCGGAAATCATACGGCCCAGCTATATTCAACTATAACTCCTATATTACAGTGGTAATAGAAACGGGGCAACCGTTACAGAAACAAGAAAACGACACGCTCATACTGCCAGCAGAATGGAGCTTTAACGCGCAGCCTGCAGCTAAGTGAGCTTATCGCAGAAAGAATCATGTGCTTTTATTCTACACAGATTTGTCACATCATTCATGCAATCTGGCACTCGTTTCAATTGAGACTTGCGGCTTCACGAAACAAAAATAATCTAAATAGCCACACCGGGCTGGGCGGGGCCTACCGCTCCTCTCTCACTATATTTCGTCTTACCTTAGCATGGACTAACCGCGAACGCTGTGCTAGCGGGAGCGGCTAACCTTTAATGCCTCGACTGGGGCACTCGCTGCACGAGCGCTCATGCAGCCGCCGAGGCTTCCATCGAAGCAACTATCTCGCGCTTTTAGCACGCGCGGCTAACAAGTACATACTAACGTGAAACGAAGTATAGAGTTCTTCGATATGCTCCTCAGAAAGGAACTCTATCTCTCACCGATAACGAGCGCCACGGCTGGCGCTGCGGGGTAAAGTAGAACTATAGCGCTCACCGGCGGAGTGAGGCATACGGCAGGCCGCTCCCAAGGGGAGTCCTAATCGAGTGGCCGTGGTGGTACAGTGTTCGCATTATACTCCGTTTCACCTTATGTTGTACCGCAGCGAAGGCTAGAAGCGCGAGCTCATAGCGTTGGCAGCTGCCCTTGCTGCACGAGAGCTTGTGACGCCAGATGTGCCCTAGAGCAAGGAGCTCGCGCTTGTAGCCTTTCCTGCGGTACAATATATGGTGGAACAGATTATAGTCAGATTCACGGAAAGGAACTTTCGGGGGGACCTATGCGTCAAGAAACGGGTTGCACTGAAAGGTTAGGGAATTTATGTAAACGAAAGCTTAACAGCGACTACGAAAACCTCTTCCTGGGTGGCAAAAAATACGGCCCAAAATAAAGGTTATAGATATGTCTGGGTGAAGGTGCTGCGTTGATCCGGATTGAAAACGAAACCGATTTAAACAAACTCAGATAAATGGATAGCTCCATCAATGAGATAAATTCTTTTGAGTTTTGCTCATTGGGACGAGTATGCGAGTCAGGTGATGGGCGAGGGAAGAACACAGGAAGCATTAATTGTAATACACATTACCGTAAGGAGCATCAGAAAAAAACTGAGAACAACTTAATGTGTACCTAGGAAGAAGATTAGGTAGTCTTGATGTGTTAGTTATAACAAAAACACACATACAAAATCAGCGGAGGAATATGATTATCAGTTACCTGGTTTTTACTCTGTGTCACTATGCAGAGAAAAGGGAAAAGGAGGAGGCATACTTTTTTATACAAAAAAAATGATTGGACAGCTGCATGTTGTAGCATCTCTAGAACACGCTGAAATAGCCGTTATTTCAGTAAGAAAAAATGACTTTTCTTTTCCTGTTATGGCGTTTTAGAGACCACCCAGTGCAGATTTAAATTTGTTTTACAGTGAATTTGAAGGTTTACTAGGGAAGTTCAGCAACAGCGACCGTGTAAGTCTGGGGTTGGAGACTATCTAGACATATTGTCAGGCTACGGTTTGCAGAACTTGATCCGTGATTACACCAGAAAAGAGTATCTAGGTGACAGAGTAACTAGAACCTGCATAGATCACGCGGTCATCCGAATGAGTAGTATGATAAGTGTACCCGGTGTTATCAAAAATAAAGTCGCCGTTTATTACTTTTGAAAGAAATACAAGATTTGCGGAATGAAGCGCAAGAAACCGTGGAAACCCCTGGCAGCTTGACTATAGTTCTCCAAACTCGGCCTATTTTCCGTCGATGACGGAGCAAGTCCTGGGTGGTATATTAAAAAGGATGCCACTAACGAAGCCAGAGGATTAGAATAAGAGATATATACCTTAATTTTGATCAAATAAAAAATATCTTGCTTGTCATATTAAATGGAATTATTGAAACTGGGAGAATACCAGATATATTGAAGGTGGCCCATCTAATATACAAAAAAGGTAATAAAAAGGTGTTATCAAACTACAGACCTATAGCAATTTTATCAGTTATGACCCAGATCATAGAAACTTAGTGCCTAAAATTATGCCATCGTTTTGCGAAATATTTTTGTTTATTAAATATCTGCCAGTATGACTTTAGACAGCAATAAAGTACAACTCTCTTGTTGGAGGATTTTACTGACTAAAATTATGAAAGAATAGAGTATAATCACATAGTCCTAGCACTTTTTTTTACCTAAAAAAAGCGTTCAACACAACTGATCACGGGTTGTTGTTAAATAAGCTAACAAATACGGGCTTCAATGGACTTTTTCTTCAGTTTTTTTTAAAGTTAATTTCATAACCGCACACAACGTGTATAGACGCTTTGCAGCAGCTCTGCATGGACGCCGCCATAACTGACCTTCAGTTTTTGTTTCCTCTTATTTTGTTTATTTCACTTCATCATTAGCATAGCGGGCCAGGTTATTGCCATATTAGATTCAACTGTGTCCTTTTCTAAAGCATCGGCCTTTGTAGAGGATCGTCAACTACCGTTTCAGTTGCTCGGCATCTCGGTAAGACAAGAGAAGGTCAGCAATGGCGGCTGTAATTTGGCGCGTGTGTAAAGCGTCTATACTGATAGGAAGTAGCATAAGTGAACCCTTGTTCGTTTCTTCCGGCGTACCACAGGGGTCTACCTTAGGTACTCAGCTACTTAACTTTTATATAAATGACGTAGATAAATTGTCTATGAATTCTCAGTTATACCAATATGCGAACGACACTGAACTTGTATTGGCACATAAAAATTACGAAGATGCAGTTTCCATTTTTCAGAGTGCCATAAACAACTTAGTAGACTGGTTCTCCTGGAATACTATATTTGTAAACAAAACAAAGACCAACTTAATGTGCTTCCGGATACATAAAAAAGAGTGAACCTTATACGTCCCATCTATCTACATTCCAACGACTGTAAAAATCTAGTAAAGCCCCTGACCTTAACGTATATGTACAAACTACGAAATGTCTATAATATTTCACTTAGCAAAAGAGTGCATGAAGCACCAGGAGTCTCACTCTTGCGTTAAGGAATCACTGTGTGTGGAACCTGTTCTGCCCACTGGAACAAAAAAATTAAATAGACTGATATATAGAATTGCAGATAGTATTGCCTCTGATAAGTATGGTTCGAAATTTGAAACTCTTTATAATGGTGAAAAATTGTCCTCTCTACAAATATTGCAGGGTGAAAAATTAAGGGAATATGTAGTTTTAATGAAATATTATTCTACTAACGATTTCAAGTATAGAGTCCACATACAAAAACATCGGAGATATTCTGAAACATTTTCCATTCCCACGGTATACACAAATTACAGAAGGCGTTTAATAAAATATTACATTCCTTTCTACCACACTTCCTAACGAATTGTACGACGTGCCGTCTCGGAAAGACACGAAACAGAAATTAAAGGAGCGGTGCTCTCGTCACGTTGAGGTGTATACATACTGTTCCTTCATTTGCTGTCCACTTTGCATGTGATAACAATGTATAGCTTGTCCCGAGAAAAATGTCTCTGTTACTATTATTTTAATTATTTCAAGCACTCTCTACTCTGTCTCATCCTACGATGGACTAAAGGCCAAAGCCACGGGCCGCCAGGTCCAATCCCATTCCACGCTATACTATGGCACGCCTAACATTGATTAGGGGTGGACAAAAAATCCTCCGAATCCAAAAGCGCCGCATCAGTTCTATAGCTTCGACGCTGCAAGGAGCCTATATGTCGTGGCTTTCTTTGCGACGTAAAATTGCTGAGTCACTCACTGCTCTTCGACTTGAGCCAGTGTCCACCCATCCCCTGATCAGTGATCCGATACGTGCATCGAAGCGAAATACCGCACAATTTCTAAGGGGCTCGTGATTGGATATGGGCTATCCGTAGCATTTGCCTTTAGTCCATCGTAGGGTGAGACGAAGTATAGAGTCTCCACGGTCCCGCACACAAGCGCTCGCGCGCTTATGCGGGCCTTCGATCAAATTGTATGCAAGAATTGCTCAGTAAACAATTTATTGATTATTTATTATTATCCACGAGTCCCACGACACCTTCAACCGCCCCGCACTCCGAGGGGTCGCCGTCGCGTGGTTTGGAGCACGTTGTAAGATAAAGTAGAGCCCCTCCATCCTGGGAAAAGTGGCGCCATTCATTGTTGTGGAAATGCTCGAGACACGTGGCGCACGCCACTTCTGGGAAGAACATGGCATCTGAAATCTTGCTCAGTGCTGCGCTGTGCCGCCATGATCTTCCCAAGGGCTGCACGTTGCACGTACCTCATGCATCGACGCACTTTGCGCTACTTTTGAAACATGAAGGGGCTTTACTCTGGCGGCGAGGGGAGGGGGATAAGGGAGAGAGTCTTCGCCAAATAAACCACTTCGCAAGGCGTGGTTTACGGCGCGGCCGTCGTTCTGTAATACAAATGAGGAGAGCGTCTTGTATTCCCCTAGCAAAGTATTTCCTATAATCCAGCCCCGGGTGGAAAAGTTGCTTGTCGTTCTTTTCCGAGCACGTTCTTCACGTGTCGGGTTAGAATAGTGACGATGAGAAAGAGGACGAGCGCCACGAGCCAACGCTACAGCCGCCAGGACTTCGCAGGGACTAAAGCTACCACTCAGAACAACCGGGACAACTGCGGGCTCCCGACGATGCAGCATGACGTGCACGTGCCCATAAACGACGGTTTGGAGCCGTCGCTGTTCCGGCCGTCCCCACCCCCGATGCCGCCGCCGGTGGTGGTCGTTGCCACGGCCGCGGTGCACTATCTCCCAGGGACCTTGTCGCCGCACACGCAGGCCAAGACCAACCTGAGGTCCGGAGCGACCGTCGACGCCAGAGTCCAGAAACCGCTCGGCGAGACGGGAGACAAGCAGCCCCGGCCAGGCCCGATGGCTCCCCAGGCTCCGAACGACGAGCCCTTGAGCCAGGAGGTACGTCCAAGCAACACTTACACCCAACACCTCGTAAATGGGAAATCCGTAGTGCGTAAGTTTCGCCACCGCCCAAAAGAAGTCGAACTCGGGCGCCGGTCTAACACAAGGAATTGGTCAGCGCTTGGCCGGGGCTCGTGTTCGATCAGTGTGAACACAAGTGCCTGCCGAACCCCGACTCCTGTTCTATCTGTGCCCCATGTTTTCCTCTTGTACGTGACGCCGAAATTTGCTGCACTACGGACTCTCCGTGCAGGATGTGTAAGCGAAAACTTTCCGCCGAAATTTGCTGCACTATGAATTCTCCATGTAGGATGTGTAAGCGAAAACTTTCCGCTGTTGCCCCTTCTCCTAGCCTCTATCTCCCTGGCTGCTCGGCACCATCTTTGACCGAAGGCGCCAGTGAGGATGAAACATTTTGAAAACCGAAGCGCGTTACCTTTTACTATATATGTGTTGTTTTTTTTTTGTTGTTTTTTTTTTTGTTTTTCAACACAGCTTGTTAAACACTTCTTTTGGGCCATATCGGCCCGAAAGCAAACGGAAGACGCGGTGACAATAATAGTCCATGGAGAAAGGGAACAAAGGGACAAAGGACAAACGAAATTCTCCAAACACAACTGGGTGTTTGGAGAAATCCGCCTGGTCCTGGTATCGAACCAGGGTTGGGCAGGAATACTCAAAAATGTATTTGGAAATACAAATACTGGGATACAGTAAAATAGTAGCTAAAATACTGATACTAAGATACATCTGTAGAAATGTATCGCGATACGTATCGGAAATACATTTTAAAAAGATGCAAAAGGTATTTGGAAATACAAATACAGGAATACATTTTAGGGAGGGCAGAAATACAAATACAGAAATACTGATAGTGCAATACATTTTCCAAATTTTTTTGAGACGCCAACTGAGATGAAGCTTGAAGTTTGAAGTGGGTGTTTTCGATCCCGACATTACTTTCCTGTAGGCTTGGCACTTTGCCTTGAAGGTAGTGGTTTCGGACGACAAGGAGTCTTCAATGGGCCCAAAAAAACATTCCATCAAGGGCTGACCGCGGTCCCTTCCATGACATCCTGTCTGTCTGACGAGGGGATCCTGTCAACATTGATCACATGATGTTACGGTGGAATAAACTAGTATTCTTTATCTGTAGGTGTGGCCTTGAACGTGAAACCTTACCACGCTGCTGTATGAAAAGACAATACGTACTTTCGTTGTAGGTTACCTCGCTGAAGATCGTGCATGCAGTGCCATTTGAAATTTTTGAGAATAGTGGACCACCTGAAGCATCTTGGAATACATGTCTTATCTTCTGTTACGGTTGAAAAAACGATACGGTAGCATCCCTGTTCTGAAGGTCCTTACTACCGACCCTCCGCCACCGACGCAAGGATTGCAGTCCTCAAGTTTTGCCTAGCATTATCCAAACAGAGACCTCGTGGATTGCGAGCTGATATTGCCGGCACAGGTGCGAGCTGTCCGAGAAACAGCAGTCTCGAGACGAGTCGCGGGAGTACGTAGTATGGGATGGCAAAGCGAGGCCACTTCTGGCCTCCTTCTGGGTTTCGGATCACTAGAACAGCGGGTCACGTTCACGTCGGCTGATGACGTACCCTTGAGCCATGCAATGTTACGGGCGCAGCCGCAGATGCATTCGAATATGTGTTGAACTTCACAGCGTGAGTCTTCCTACTATTTCAAGTCGACCACCGCCAAACTGGTGCTGCAATGGAATGTGACTCAGCTTTGCCGGCTGGGTGTACTCTGTACGCTAAGGCAAGAGAGACGGTTAGCAGCGGGCATTAGATGCCAGCAAACAATCACTCAAGAAATCCCTACCTAAGGACCTGCGGCAGAAGATGCTCTGACTCCACATGGCACGCCACCTGGTTCGAGTCCCCGACTACGCCACACTTCTCAGAAGAGAGAAGAGGAGTTAGAGGACGCATAGAAAAATAGTTTGCAGAATCAGAAGGAACCTTGGTCAGCAGAGTAACAATGCCCCAGCATCTCCTTAACCCTAGTAACCTAAAAAGTAAAAAAAAAAAAAAAAAGGCGTTCGGACTTGTTTATTTTTTTTTTCGGGGGGGGGGGGGGGGGGGGGGGGGGGAGGGGGGAGGGGGAGGGGGAGGGGGGAGGGGGGAGGGGGGAATATTTCTCAAGAAATGTAACGAAATACATTTCAGCCAGCATGTATTGCGATACAAAGAAACATTACAAATGTATTTCGATACAGGAATACAGATACTGGCGAAAAAAATGTATCGCGATACAGAAATACAGATACGAAATGTATTTCTGAAATACTATCGCGATACATTTGTATCGCGATACTGCCCAACCGTGTATCGAACCAGGGACCTCTCCATTTCCAGCTGAGCCCTCTAGCAACCGAGCTAACCAGGAGTTAGACGTCAGTAGAGCAAACGTGTTTGATCTGCTGCCACCAGTCTAACATCGACAAGGATGAACGTCCTGCATTTTAAACTTTTGGTTATAATGCAATTAATGCAAACGTACAAGCGAGCTGGACAAGAATGACAATAATATTCCCTGGAGAAGGGGAACAAAGGAGACAAAGGACAAACACAAATCTTCAAACACATTCGTGTACAGCTCGCTTGCACCTTTGCATTATTTGCATTATAATCATAAGCTTAAAATGCAGGCCGTTCATTCCTGTTGGTGTTAGACTGGTGGCAGCTGATAAAACCCGTTTGCTCTACTGACGTCTAACTCCTGGTTAGCCCAGTCGGTAGAGCGCTCCACTGGAAAGGGAGAGATCCCTGGTTCGATACCAGGACCAGGCGGATTTTTTGGGTCACGCACCAGTCACCTAGCTGCGTTTGGAGAATTGTGTTTGTCCTTTGTTTCCCTTCTCCAGGGATTATTATTGTAATTATTTTTCAGCTCGCTTGTGCCTTTGCATTAGGTACACATCGTGTTGTATAACAGGTAACGGCGTGTCCGTCTTCCACACAAGACGGGTGCCGCAAGCTTCAAATAGAATCGGTTGCGTGCAGAATGTCATGTGATCGTGACGTGATCAAGATCCTATGGAGCTGTTTTCCTACTTAATGAGCACCCCACAATACTTACTGCGAAAACTGTGTAGTGCAGAGAAAAGCCAGGAGCGAAAGGAGGAACGAACCAAGCTTGGTGCTGCAAGTTTCGTTTTGATGGCTTCGACGTAGTTGTGACGTGGCCCTACTCTCGTCAAGCTTCCGGGTATTTGCCGCTTGGGCTGGTCAGGGATGAACTAACAATGACGTCACGTTCAGGCCTTGCCTTCTAGGGTGCCACTGGTTGAGCGGAAAAACGCTGCTCATTCTTTCATTTTTTGGCGACTATCATCGCACAAGGATCAAAACTATAGCGTGTGTTTCATAGGTTATAAACGCCAGGGCTTCATTCTAAGTGAAATTTACGCAAAGCAGAAATATCGTTGCCACGGCCTTTTAATGTTAAGCCATCACTATTAAATCTCCTTGATAAAGGCGCTTTTTACAAGTACCGCCGACCATTATTGTGGAAACGAGCAAGACCCGTGCATCGAGCGAGTGCTCCGACGCCATTCGCTTCCAAGGGCCGCTCAACACATGGGCCTCGTACACTAGCGCATTTGACGCTACTTGCAAGACAAGCGCAAACACAGCGAGGGGCTTTAATCGCTACCGTATAGCAGCGCCACCTGATGGCTAGCTGTGGGTGGCGCCCAGGAGTCATCTGGATGAGCAATGCCGGCGTTTGTCCACCCTTCGCAGGAGCCGTACGAGGAGGAAGAAGACCGGCTGTGCTTCTACGTATGGGGCATCAGTTCGGTGACCTTCATCACCATCATCATCCCGATGGGCCTCTTCGTGCTGTCGCACCCGACCGTGCACCCGACCGCGCATTCGACCGTGCACCCGACCGCCGGCACTCAAACAAGCCAGGTATCCAACTGTCTCTCTCCCTGTGGCTAAGTTGAGAACTACACCGTGTGTGGGTATTCGACTGTGATACGGTCACACTCCACCCGCTTGCGGGCAAAGTCACAAGCAACCCCCGAATGTCTTGTGGCACTTTTTACTCGCTCTTTTCTTCAAGTCGTGGACGTCCTTGTTCGGTCCTACTCCCCGAGCTGTCGTAATGCTCTAACTAAATCCAACTCGTGAGCACCCGGCCTCCCGCCGCGCGTCTGGTGCGTTTCTATTCTTCTCCTCCGCCTACACCAGGCGCCTCTACGACAACCCATGGAAACAACAACATGAATTATTTGTTTGCGTTTCTGACGCAGGGCTCGGTTGACATCCAAACTCTTCGTCGGCATAATGGAGTTTACGCTGGCAGATTCGCGGGCGGATCCGCGCAGGCGGAAAGTGGATTTTGGAGCCAGGCGGCGAACTCCGCTCGTCGACGGCGGAAAATCTCGATCCGTCCGGGACCCATATCCAGATCTTCCGCCAGCGAAGTGTTGATTTGGCTACCCGGCTCCAAAATCCACTTTGCGCCTGCACGGATCCGCCCGCGAATTCGCAAGCGTAAACACGCGTTCAATCAGGGAATCACCAATTGAACACGAGTCAATAGCGTCGTCGCCACATAAGTACGTAAAGCTTGTGCACACGCTATCCTAAACCTCGTTAATAAAGAGCATGTATGTATAAAAGAGTGTGTATGTATAAAAGTATATGGTACTATGCACAATTAACAACGAACATCGCTTTAGACACCGTAAAAGTAATTACGATTTTTTTTTTGCTTTTTTCTAAATATTGCTAGCTCCGTCAAGGACCACAGGTCGCGATCCAAACATGGAAATCAAATACAACAGAGCTTTCAAACATCAACATTCAAAGCAATCCTTAAGAACTGCACCCCAAACATATGCACTCACCTACACACGCAAGAAGAGTCACACTTTTTGCAGGTAAAACAATACAGGTACGGCATTCTCGAATTCAGAAAAAGATTCTAGTGCAACGACACTATCAGGAAGTTCATTGCACAAGTCTACCGCCTGAAGAAGATATGACAGCTTAAAAATATTTATACGGAAATCAATGGCGGTTAAAACTTTCGGGTGATGTAAATGATCTATCCAGTAGCTTTCGGCTTCACATATTTGGACTCATCAATTTGAAGAAAGTTGTTATACATTTGAAAAAAAAAAAAATCACTTTAGGCGCTGGAACATTTTTCGGTTTTTTAGTGGCTGTAAACCTGCCTGTCGTTTCAGCGCCGTAGTTAACGTAGTATTCCTAAACTTAGAGAGGTTTGAGCGCACTGCCAGTGGCTGTACGTTTCCAAGCTTTCTTGAGAGTGTGACCTGCCAGGGAACCCAGACTTCCGATGCGTTCTTTAGGGCCGAACTTACTAGAGCATTATACGCAAGTCTTAACCGAGGGAGGTGTCCTAACAGCCTTCTCCGTAAATACCAGAATTTTTTTGTTTTTGTTTTTTTGTTTTTTAGAGAGCAGCTTTTAGGCGCCCGTTTCCGGCTTGAGCGGCGTCGGCGTAACCGCGCGTAAGCCTCGTAGCCCTCGTGAGGGTTACGAGAATTACGAAGGTTAGTTACCTTCAAAAGGGTTACCTTCATGAGAATCACGAGGGTTATGAGAGTTACCCTCACGAGGGTAACGAGGGTTACCCTCACGAGGGTCATGAGGGTTACAACCCTGAGGTCACGTGACCCTCCCTTGATGTCACGTGACACCCCTGAGCACACGTGACCCCCCCTGATATCACATGACCCAACCCCCTGAGGTCACGTGACCTCAGGGAGTCAGCTATCCCTCAGCACCCTTCCATCCTATCTCTCAGTACCCTTTAAAGGGCCTCTGACACGCCAAAATTTTTTTAGAGCGCAGCTCTTAGGGGCCCGTTCCCGGCTTGAGCGGCGTCGCCGTCGCCGTCGGCGTCGGCGTCGGCGTAACCGCAACCCTCGTAACCCTCGTGAGGGTTACGAGGGTTACGAGGGTTAATCTCATGAGGGTTACCCTCACGAGGATCACGAGGGCCACGAGGGTTACTTACCCTCGTAACCCTCACGAGGGTTACGAGGGTTAGTTACCCTCAAAAGGGTTACCTTCGCGAGGGTTACCCTCACGAGGGTTACTTACCCTTGTAACCCTCACGAGGGTTACGAGGGTTAGTAACCCTCGTGAGGGTAACCCTCGTGAAGGTAACCCTTTTGAGGGTTACGAGGGTTAGTAACCCTCGTGAGGGTAACCTTCACGAGGGTTACCCTCACGAGGGTCACGAGGGTTATGAGAGTTACCCTCACGAGGGTTACTCGCCCTCGTAACCCTCACGAGGGTTACGAGGGTTAGTTACCCTCTCGAGGGTCACGAGGGTTATGAGAGTTACCCTTACGAGGGTCACGAGAGTTACCCTCACGAGGGTCACGAGAGTTGCCCTCACAAGGGTTACTAGGGTTACCCTCACGAGGGTCACGATGGTTACCCAGGTCGTGACCCCCCCTGGGGTCACGTGACCTGGGGATACCCCCCGAGGTCACGTGACCCCCCGTTGACGTCATAGGCACTGATGACGTCGTCAGTGACGTCACTGATGACGTCACCGGCATCCGCATCGTCATCATCACTGATGACGTCATTAGTGACGTCACTGATGACGTCACCGGCATCCGCATCGTCATCATCATCACTGATGGCGTCATCAGTGACGCTACTGATGACGTCATCGGTATCGTCACGTGGCCCCAGGTCACGTGACCCCCCGACGTCACGTGACGCCCCAAGGTCACGTGACTCCCACAAGGTCACGTGACCCACAAGGTCACGTGACCCCCAAGGTCACGTGACCCCCCGCCCCCCGAGGTCACTTGACCCACCCCCCAGTACCCTTCCCTCCTCCTCCTCAAGAGCTGCGCTCTAATTCGGCGTTACAGGGAGTTGTAAACGGCTTTCATTTTTTTCATGCTAGGCGTTGAAATGGCATGTCAGGACATTACAAAAAAATTGTTTCACTAAAGAGTTGCGTAATATTTTTATAAAAATAGAAATAGGAGGCCGAATTCAAAGTTCCCGCCAGTGCACTGTGACGTAAGAGTGTACCGCAAGGTGTCGGGGCGGTCAGAAGGGAGGCATCGACCTACGTCACTAAAAGTGGGCTCGCAGGAAGTCACGTGAGTTTCACTCCTCGTGCTCTCCGCGACCGTGCCTAAGACTTTTTTTCTGCTCTTTGTACGAGCGATTGTAGAAAACGAAGTTTTAGTTTCATTAGCTCTTTATCGCGGCACCGTTGATTAGTTTGCGTGCTGTAAAAGTTGAGGACGAAGAGTCAGTAAGGTCAATGATGAAAGCGTTGCGAGTCAAGCCACTGTACGAGTGCATGCGATCAGTCTGATGATACAGAGCTATACTGGACGCAAAAGAAGCTATCAAGTCTTGAAAAAAAAAATTTAGAACGCTCGCAGAAATTAGGATTGCTTGCGTACGACACGCCCAATTGCATTGCTGAAGGTTCGGACACCGAGGTCGTCGAATCATCGTATACTCTCCAGGCTGAAGATGCCTGCCGTCCCTCGGAAATGCATGCAGTGTGATCTCTTCTTCAGTTGTTGAAGTACCGGGACAGTCCCTCACACAGCACCTTCTAGGCATTGTAGTTGATCACGTCAATTCACTGACTCCTCTTATTCAACCTTTGCAGCAACATTAAGCGATGAAAAGCAGATAAAGGAAACCTTGTCTGCTTGGATCGCTCGTGGAGGTGCGGAGAACAACAAAAATATTTTAAAAATATTACACGCGCTCGCGGTAAGCACGAGGAGGGATACAACTCACGTGGCTTCCGCCGATGCCTCCCTTCTGACCGCCCCGACACCTTGCGGTACACTGTTACGTCACAGTGCACTGGCGGGAACTTTGAATTGGGCCTCGTATTTCTATCTTTTTTTAAAAAAAACTACGCACCTCTATAGTGAAACAATTTTTTTGTAATGTCCTGACATGCCATTTCAACGCCTAGCATGAAAAAAAATTTTTTTTGGCGTGTCAGAGGCCCTTTAATCCTCTTCTCAAGAGCTGCGCTCTAATCCGGTGTTAGAGAAAGTTGTAAACGGCTTTCTTTTTTTTTTTTTTTCTTCTTCTTTTTGCCTTGTTTTTTTTATATAGTTCATATGGTGGTTTCAATTTAGATCGCTCTTGATAATCATACCCAAGTACTTGTAGCTACCAGCTTTGGAAAGCTTTACAGCATAAAGCTCAGAATCAAAACACAGTGTGTTCTTCTTTTTATATTTTTTTTAAAGATATCCATGTATTGAATTTTCTCGGTATTAATTTTTATATTATTTTCGCTTTACCATGCCGAAATACAGGATAAGATATTATTTAGTTCAATCTGGTCGTCCACATAGGTTATATGTGTACAAATTATACAGTCATAAGCATTCCTATTTTTACTGGCCTGTCACTGTGAATAGAAAACAAGCAGTTGACATACATTGTAAAAATCAATGGGCCCAGCACAGAGCCTCGTGGAACCCCACAATGTACGCTTAAAAATTGAAAAAGGTGCCACCGACTTCTACGAACTGCTGCCGATATGCAAGGTATGCTGTTATCTATTTTATCAGAAATGAAGGGACACCGAGGTCCATGAGTACATTAATTAACTTGTGACGAGGTACGCCATCAAACACTTTTGACAGATCGATAAAAAAGTGAAAGCCGTTTACAAATCCCTGTAACGCCGAATTGGAGCGCAGCTCTTGAAGAGGAGGAGTGAAGGGTACTGAGGGGAGGGTAGACCCCTCCCCCTTCTCCTCCTCCTCCCCTCATTCTTTAATATGCTCCGGGGGGGGGGGGTCACGTGACCTCGGGGGGGGTGTGTCACGTGACTTCGGGGAGGGGGTCACGTGACCTCGGGGAGGCGTGACCTGGGGGTCACCTCAAGGTCACGTGACCCCCAAGGTGACCCCACGTGACCTTGGGGGTCACGTGACCTGGAGGGGTCACGTGACCTCAGAGGGGTCACGTGACTTGGGGGTCACGTGACCTTCAAAGGGTCACATGGGGTGATCTTGGGGTCACGTGACCTTGAGATGACCTTGGTGAAGGTCACGTGACCCCCGAGGTCACGTGACCTTCAGGGGGTCACGTGGGGTCACGTGACCTTGAGATGACCTTGGGAGGGGTCCGTGACCTTGGGGGTCACGTGACCTTGTGATGACCTTGGTTACGCCGACGCCGACGGCGACGCCGACGCCGCTCAAGCCGGGAACGGGCCCCTAAGAGCTGCGCTCTAAAATGGCGTAAACGATCATTAACATAACGGGGTAGTTCGTGATAACATTCAATTAGTTGCGTTGTTATAGATAGCCCTCTGCGGAAACCGTGTTGATTGGCGCTTAGTATGTCATATTCGTCAAGAAAAGATATTAACTGTTGGTTTGCAATGTGCTCCAGTAATTTACACGACATATACAAGTCAAAGAAATGGGGTGATAATTATCGAATGAGTCCCTTTTACACCTTTTTTTAACTGGTACCACTTTTGCTATTAATTCACGCACGAGCACATTCACACCCGCAGCCCCGTGCAACTCCCAACTCCACGGCCGGGTTGTCGGAGTTGCCCGATCCCCAGCTCTGCGCCATGCCGCTGCTCAGCGACTGGTCCCCGGCTCTGCCGCCTTCTCATCAGGACCGACCTCAGTTCCAGGGAACGACCCCCCGCCCCGCCTTCCGATTCCGGGACGTTCTCTGCGTCCTTGACATCAAGTGAGCGCTACCACTGCGCAAAGCACGATGCAATGTGCTCCTGTTTCGAGTGCCTTGTTTGAGTGTCTCTTGCGGAAGTATAATAACCTTCTGGGGTGATATGTTACGTTTCGCCATCTGAACCCTTTGGTGTCAACATTATGTTACACTAAATACAATATAAACACCTAATGGTCGTGAAATAAAAATAATTATCAAAGCATCTTTGAACGGCAGCTGAAAGTGCTGGATCTATGTAACTGCCTATCGAAGAGTTGCAGAATCTTGATCTGCGTCCGCGTAGGGTGTATTGCTTTGTGAAATGTCAATGTACCCAATGGCTCTTCCTCATCACACTCATTCACAGAGCTGCCACGATCATTCTCTAAAGATTCATTACAAAAACTTTCAGAGCCCTCTTTATGGCCGACTTCTTTGCTAAAATCCCCTTCGCCGTGACTTGAATCGCTAACAGTTTTTACGTGACTTAGAGAAAAAGCTGCTACGCTAAAGAACGTCGTTCGTCCAGAATTCTTTTTTAAGGATGTCCTATTATTCTTTTTTTTTTTTTTTTCGTAAATCAAGAAAAATTAAGACATCATGCTTACACTCCCGGCGATAAATGGTCCCGCCTGAACATTGACCGCCAAGCAAAATGAGAATGTTGGGATTACCCCGACGCCTGACCGCAACGGGAATATCTCTTTGCCGGGTGACATATCCGACACGTAACCTCAAATGGTTAAAGGAGGGGAGACTATACAAACACACACATATATAGGCAAAGAACGACATAATAAATAAATTAACCCATCACAATCATTAGATAACCGCGGGAAGAAAATAATTTGCATGAACCAACTAGGCCAACAACAAGTTTTAATTGCGCACGATACACTCTGGTGATTTGTTCTGCTTGATTGCGGATTGCTTTGGTTGGCTTCGGGCGGGCACGTGTGCACTGTGTACATCCCGGATCTACCAAAATGGTCGAGAGGAGTTGATATTTATTCGGGACCCGTGACGTCATGAGATTACATGGCTGGCTTAATCGTTCGGAAGCCAGCTGCCCGCGCCCACAGTCGCCCACCACAGCAGGATCGTTTGAGTCGTACGTAGTCCAGCTGCTTGTTCGCCCATTCGCCTCCTCCTAGTGGCGCTGAGGCTGACCAAAAGCATCGGGTTGCGGATCTCACAGTAGATGGTGTCGTGATATACTCATGATATACCTTTGATATGATATATCATTATATATAACTGATATGTGATATACCTGATACATGATATACCTTTGATATACTCGACAGTGAAGTCATACTCAATGAGCATCAGGCTCCAGCGCAATCATCGGCGGTTGACATGCTTTGCAGAAGTGATGTAAACGAGTGGCTGATGATCCTTTTGCAGAATGAATGGTCTACCAAACAAGAATACACGAAACTTCTTAAGCGCCCAAGTAATGGCTACTCCCTCTCGTTCCACTGTCGCGTAACCAGCTTCACGTGGCAGCATTTGACGATTTGAATAAGCCACAGGGTGAAGGACATCCTCATGTCGCTGCAGGAGTACGGCCCCTACGAAGCATCAGTGCACAGCACGAGGGTTGGGATAAATGTGAGGCTTTTTAGAGGGGCTGGCTGGACAGCAGCTCTTTCAATTTCTCGAAAGCATCTTGTTCCTTCCCCTTTCCCTCCCCATCCCTCCCTGCCTCCCTCCCTCCCTCCATCCCCTCCCCTCCCCCCCCCCCCCCCCCCCCCCGACTCACTTTATTCGGGGCCCTCTTTCGAGCCAACTTCGTTAGCGGTTGTGATGTGGCAGAGTAGTGGGGCAGTGATTTCCCTACACACACCCTAGGGGGGGGGGGGGAGGGGGTGAACACCTCCCTTTGTTTTTCTGAAGGCACCCTTTAATTTGCAACGACTCCTCTATTTTCAATGCCCCCCCCCCCCCCCAAAAAAAAAAATTTAGACACCCTTCCTAATTTCACTTCCTGGGGAAACCCCTGTATTGGGGTACTGAAATAGGAATGTCGGTGGTAGTCTTCAGCTTGCACTCCATCGGGCGGGTTTTTCCTAGGACATTTCTGAAACTTTCCTTGTACGCAACAAAGAGGGTGAAGACCTGCGCTTGTTGAAAAACGTTGGTCTCTACCCTCTTGGTTGCGTCCTGCGTGTCGCTGCGTTGGCGCCGTGGCTTGCGTCTGAACTAGAGCTCGTTAAACTTGCGGGCTGTCGGGAGCCTTTGCCGCTGGGCCGTCCAGCGAACCCTGAAGCGGGCCCTTCTCCAGTCTGCTGCGCGGGGGCTCCCCTGCTCTGAAACGTTCTCAAAACCTGTCACATTGGCCGCCTCGTTGCCCTTTCACCGACGGCAACATCAAACTTGACGGTCTCTCCTGTTCCGACGCTCCTAATCACCTTTCTTTTTCTTTTTTTTGTTATTATTGTTTGATGGACGAAAATATCCTCTTTCGTGTCGTTTCTGTTAATGAATCCGTAGCCATTTTGGGCGTTGGATCATTTCACTGTTCCTAAAACTCGTTGATCGGGTACTTCCTTTTTCCATAATGAAACTGGTTCCTCGGAATCGATCTCGGACTCTGCCATGATTTTAAAGGTTTCTGCACTCCGAATTCATTAGTTTCCCAAGATGCGGTTTTTGCTTGGGGTCTCTTGTGTCGGTTCTTCTTGCAGGGGGAGGGCAAGTTCTCCTCTGCTCTCCACTGGACATCAGGATCAGAAGCATGCCGTACGCCAACGATGTTTCCCAAGACGACATCATAGAGCGGGTTTTCCAGGCAGGTCGCTGTCACCTCGCCTTGGAAATATGGAGAATCTATATCTACCACCGCTTCAGGTAGACGCATTAATCTCCGGTTAAGGAGGTAAATCATGCGGTATGTTCTTGTAAATTTGCCATCGGGAACAAGGAACCGGTTCTCTATGACTCAGTTGCACCGGGATTCTGTCAGAACCGTGACAGGGTGACGCTCAAGCAGTCCTTCAGCTGTGGGTATGCCATCTACTTGAAATTCTGGTCCCTTTCGACACTCTTCGTATCCCTCGATCAGCATTGCCTTAAAGGACACATGCAAAGGAAAAAAACATTTTTTTTTAAAAACAGCTTAGATGGAAAAAGGATATCATAAAACAATTTTACAACCAAGAAAAAAAATTTTGGAACTATATTTACGGCGCTATACGAATTTGTAATTGGCGCCGGTGGGCGCCGCGGAAAAGTGGCCCTTGACGGGCCCATATTTCTCACGTGGTGCTAGCGTTCTTTCGGAAGCTTCCTTTGGCCTCTAAAAGTAACTTATTCATCTTTGTTTGAAGTATAACAAAAACTAAGATGAATAAGTAACTTTTAGAGCCCAAAGGAAACTCCTGAAAAAGCGCAAGCAGACGTGATAGACCTGTGCGCCGGTCAGACGACGGCGGCGGCGCCCCGAAGCAGACGAACTTGTGCGACGGCGGCGACGGCGGCATGGAGGAACGCGTTGAAGCGGCGTTCGCACAACGCTCAGCGTGCGGCGGCGACGCAGCGCGGCGGCGCGCGGGCCTACCACGTGACCAGCGGCGGCTCCCGCGAGCGCCAACTACAAATTCGTATAGCGCCGTAAATATAGCTCTAAAAATTTTTTTTCTTAGTTGTAAAATCGTTTTATGACATCCTTTTTCCATCTAAGCTGTCTAAAAAAATGTTTTTTTCCTTTGCGTGTGTCCTTTAAAATTGACGACTGTCGGAACAGGGGATTCTCAAGATTCTCAAGAGGTGTTACGAAACACGAGGCTTGTCCATCAACATCTGTTTTGCTAGAACAATCCTCAGCATTATGCCCGTTCGTGTGACATGTCCAGCAGGAAGTTGTCTTTTGATTGGTTCCTCTTGATTTGGCTCAGCAGTCAACTGATCGATGGCCTTCTTTATTGCAAAGGAAGCACTGCGGTTGTCCCTTTGCATCTTGAGAACCAGACATCTTAATTAAACATATAAAATAGCGCAAAAAAGACAAGGACAAAAAGTATACAGGACAAGCGCTAACGCTTGGCATATACATAAGTATACAGGACAAGCGCTAGAGCTTGTCCTGAATACTTTTTGTCCTTGTCTTTTTTGCGCTATTTTATATGTTTAACTAAGATGAACCAACCAGCCCAACAACGTACCCTACCAGACATCTTAACTTGCCCTGTCGGCTTGTTAGTCTCTTTCTCTTCTTTCCTTTTGCAAATGTTGACCAACCCATGGGCCTCGATGTAGCGATGTGCTGCCTCTGCTAGCTTGTCGAGTCCTTGGCAGCCCCTTTCCTTTAGAAAAATTGCGAGCTTCTCGTGGAATTTCTTCAGGAACTCCTCTGAGACACTTTGTTCCGAAGTGTGTCATAAGTGCGCTCCGTCCTTGCCATCTCCTGTCAGTGGTCAAAATGACCTAAAAGGCGGCCAGAAAATTGTCTTTCGTTTCGGAGTAATTCGGTTAAGCCTCTCTAAGTTTGGCGCGGTACCCTTCCTTAGTACCGAAACGGTTGGAGAAGAGTTTGCTTCAGTTTAGTGTAGTCCATGGCATCGGCGGCTGCCATGCGACCTACTATACTTCGTTTCACCTTATGCTGTACCGCAGCGAAGGCTAGAAGCGCGAGCTCATAGCGTTGGCAGCTGCTCTAAATTCACGAGAGCGTGTGCTTCGGAGATGTGCCCCAGAGCAAGGAGATCGCGCTTGTACCCTTTCCTGCTGTGCATCTTAAGGTGAAACAGAGTATACACTTAACGCTCCCCCTTTAAAACATAGGCTCCATGACAAGGCCTATTTTTCCGGAGGTCATTCTTGACGTGTTGCCACAACGCGCCCTTCGTTAATCGGGGGTACGCTTATGTGGGCTCCGATACCCCTGCGCAACGCTAGTAGACGTACCAACCCTGCCTTCACCCGAATCCTGAGTGATCGATCCTCTTTGTCGCTCCTTTAACTGCAATTTCAGTTCCAGCAGAGTGCAGTGCCGAGTGGCCGCGGCAGTGCGTTCTGCCTCTAAGCGAGCATGCGCTTGGGCTTCTACCGCTCGAGTATTTTCACGTTCTGTTGCACGCTCATCCCTCTCGCGCGCGCGTTCTTCGTCCATCCATTGTTTTAACTACAGTGATCGTTTTAACTAAGCCCCCGAGAAACCCAACGTCTCGAGATCCATTCTCACCCGACACACACTCTAGCGAGGTGGAGCTCATTAGGGTGTAAATAGACCGATCTCACCAAGCGTTCAGCGCATGCGTGAAGCCGCCATAACTTTAGTTCACAGGAGGCAGGCTGCGGTGCACGAGGCGGCTTGTGCCGTGTCGTGCTCTACACGCGCAGAGCTCCAGCAAGGTTGTCGCACGTGCAGAAAAACTAAAGTTCCCTCGATGCATTGCGGCAGCGGTGGCGTAGTCAAACTGGTAGTGAGAGGGAGAGATGAAACTTTATTGTGCCCAACGAACATGAGCAGGGCCGGGGCCCCAGTCCAGGCCCCCTCTGGTGCGTACTCCAGAGAGGACTGGATGTACGCAGCCAAGTAAACTTGATCAGATAATGTGGTGGTCGTATAGTCAGCCACTCGGGGTTGGGGAGGAAAGACTGGCTGGTGAGATCACTCTATTAGGAGAAGTCGTTTCGCGGACGCGAGGAATGTAGTGATATTGTCTCACGCTCGCAAATGTGTGACACTCAAAGAATGGAACACGATGGCACACTTTGGATTCGACAAGAACAATATATATATTGCAAATTTAAACAAATTCTACAACAACAAAAAAAATTAACACCGCACATTACAATCAAAATTAATGTCGTTCATAGAAAGTCAGGCTTACAGTCTGAGGAGGTGATAAGGCGCTATTCTCTCCTTGAGTAGTGTCGACGTCGTGGGTCGCACTCTGGGATCTTCCTCGTCGTCTTCTATACTCCTTCACAGTCACGACGCATATTCGGCGCCGCCACGACCAAAGTCTCGATAATCACGACATATACGCTTAAATTTTCGTTAAACTATAGCGTGCAGCTTTTAGCACAAAATCCAGTTTATAAACATACAGGGAAGATCCGAAGGAAAAAGGGAGCGTGCCAATATGGCTCGAATGACGTCGTTGTAGTCCTGAGTAGCTCAGGCGGGTTTTCGGCTGTTAGGTTACTTCTGGTCCGTGCCTGTGGTCTGCTTCGCCTGCCCGCTGTCACATCTGGCTTTCCATACGACACGGGCGTCCCAAAAAGAAAGTTTTGATGCGTATGCGCGGCTTTTTACGTACGGCACTCTCAACCCGGTGCCATACTCAGCGTTCGTGCGTACGGCTCCTGATAGGCGCGCTTTCCAAAGACGCGCTGTTACGGCTCGTTCTAGACGACGCCCGCAGCGCGTTGTCTAGAGCGTCTGCCACACGCCGACTTCCTGCTGGCCAGGCAACTGTTGGACTCCGAATTTTATCTGTTTGACACCGACTCTGTGAGCGCGCCGCCATGTAAATATGGGGCAGAAAGCCTCGTCGCCACGGCAACGCCATAGCGACGCGGTTGTTTACGGTTGCACAACGAGCATGCCAATGCCTAGAGTGGATGCCCAAACAATTATTGCTTAGGATAATTGGCACAGAATCTACTACATGACATATACAATTCAAAACCGTCTATTGTTTAGACTCGACTCTGAACAGCACCGTTCTTGAGATACTTGCGGAACAGTTCCAAGCCGTATATAAACGTCCTAAATCAAACGCGTGGACCTTTCTCGGCCGCCCAGATACCACATCAAGAGGCCGCCGTACAGCCCGATTTACCTGCCTCTGCCCTACTGCTCCAAGCTCATCGCCTCCTCGTTCGCCGTCGTCGATGACAGGCTGGTGGCGAAGAGAGGCAGGCTGGACGCCGCGTACCTGAGGGAGCTGGTCGACATGAATAAAGCCGGTTGGCTGGTCCGCGGCACACAGGAGGTGCCCATCTACATGAACCTGGGCGGCGACCGCGCGGACTCTGCCAACATCTCGAAAGCACTCAGAGACCCAGCAAGTCGCAAACGTCTCGCTGCCTTCGTCGTGAACTATACTGATTCACACATTATCAATGTAAGTGAGACCAACGTTCTTGGTAACGTTACTAGATGAACTCAGGTACGGAACTATCCCTAGCCGCTGCTTCCACGAACAATACCCCCCATCTCCCCCAAGGAACGTCGTTCGATGCACCCATGTTTGGGGGACGGCTACTATGATAACAGTTGTGTACTTTTGACATAACTTATTCTGGGACAAGGAAGGAAAAAAAAAAGGCCCATATAAAAGGAAAGGACAACACACAACGTCTTCGAGACCTTGTGTGCTGTTTGTTTTTTTTTTGTTTTTTTTTTCGTTTCCTGAATCGTTTTTCGTTTCCTCTATCGGGTTAAGTTACGCCAACGTTTCACCAGCTTACCTGTGAGCTTACCCTTTTTTTAGTTACAGTCTACTATATGAAATACAACAGTTTTGTAACACAGCGACAGTCGCGGGCCTGAAAAGTTTGCGCATCTCTGCCCTTGGAATACACTGTTCTGAAGCGCAGCCTCTAGATGGCGCTTCAAACAACGGTATCTCAGAGCCGTATATCTAGAGAGTTTGGCCATTCGTTGGGAAGTATAGGAGACAAATGAGGAGACGCCATTGGCCGAAAACGTGCTGGGCGTGTTCCAGGGCGTCTACAGAAATTCGAATGTGGCCAACCAGAAGCCGGAAATAATACCCTGGCGGTGGTCGCGAAAAACAAACTTGATAAGTGCGTCGGAGAAACTCTCGGTGACTGAAAATGTGCTGCACGTAATGTTTCAATCACGGTCATCCAAAATCATGGCGGAAGAGTGCTACTAGCGGAACATTGACATAATCCGTGCGCCAAGCGCCGAGGACCGGGAATCTGCCGTCCGAGCGGTTGCACTCTGTCCGAGCAAAACAGAGTTGAGCGGCGCATTCGTGTCTTATATCTTTCTGCATGATCGTGATCGGAACATTAGGTGCACCCTATTTTCAACCACGAAGGGTTACAACGCCTAACTCTTACGCGCTTATTAAAACTATATACGAACATATACAAAACGGTTTCTCGCTACCACCCCTAGGGAATTCTTTTAAGCCTCTGGTTGGCCAAGAGAACATGCCAAGCCCACTTTCTGCGTCTGGTGCACGCCCTGGCTCTGCCCGCGCCTCCCATTGACCAAAATCTCTGTATACACGGCTCTGCAGTGTCTGTGTGCATTATTTACTTATCTGTTGGAAGTGCGCGTGACGAGGAATGCCAGGGCAACATTCCCCGATGAAATCAGTTGGCAAACTCCCACAGAGACCGTTGTGATCCCTTCTCGTACCCCTCAGCCGGGCTAACGCCGTTCGAAGCGACAACCTTTTTGCTCGCTGCGGCGCGTCTTGCAAAGGGCAGTTCAAAACACGGCCTCAGCGGGCAAGAAGGATGACGCTTCAAACAGCATTCGCGAATCTAGGGGTTATTAGCGGAAACTGACGTGTGTCAGCGAGCGTCTTAGAAGGGATCACGCTCTCCGTGGGAGTTTGCCAACTGAGTTGATCGAGTAACGTTGAGCCAGGCTACCATGGCGTGTGGCATCTAGGATGTAAAGGCGATCATTCAGTTTAGTACAGCCTGAAGCACCTGGATGTGCGTTAAAACTATCGCTGGTGCAACAGACGCAAGGCCGGCGATCCGAAAAGTCGAATGACTAGAATACCATCCTCTTTTTGGAATCGCCGACCTCGAGCCTGCAGCGCGACGCCGTACTTCCAACGTGCTTCACGTCTTCATAAAGGTGACGCTCAGCAAGTTCCTAATTGTAACCATACGTTTACTTTCACTAAATAAAAAGTTAATTACTCGGTTAAGAAAATTATCTTACTAATTAGCATAATTTCTGCATTTCCCAGCGCCCACCGTGGCTGGCAATTAGTTCCCGTAAAAAGTTTCTTCTTTTTTTATCTTTTTTTTTTCTCAACTACCCTATTTCTCGAGATTTCTGAAAGTCTTCACTGAAACCCCCGGTATATCGGCCAGTGCGAAGTCGCGGCAGCCGTACACGACCGACGGCGTCCTGCGCAGGGCGTGCACCTGGACTGGGACCATCCCGGCGCGCACTGCGGGGACCCCAACGATGCGGCCAACCTCAAGGACTTCATCGCGGATCTCCAAGCCATGAAAATGAGCAACGTGATGCTGAGCGTGCCGCCGTCGCCTGACCTGGTGGACCTGTACAACCTGAACCAGATCATGGACATGCTCAAGCTGGTCATCGTGAAGACACACACCCTCCGGCCGGACAACACCCTGGCCTGCACGGGTGACAGGGCAGACGCGTTCGAGGCCTTCGCGGCCATCCGCGCCAACTTGTCCGGCATCTACCGTGACAAGCTGGCCTACAGCATCCAGGTACAGTCGTAAATATTATGAGCGACACCACTCCGCCTGTCCTTCTTTTGTGACTGCTGTTTCTACGATCTCAATTATAACTCTCGATTTTGTCAAACAGTTGACATGCGTACAACCAATTTCGAGTTCCCCCGGTTTCGGACCACAACGTTTTTGGTGCACTGTCAGATGCATCAAATAAACATGGCGGGCTGTTCTATCTCGTGTATCTTGTGAGCCTACGTTCACGTGCCATTCGACGATGCATTTCGCCTTCAGTCTGACCGCAGCCAGCACACGATAAAATAGAGCCAATCAAGCAGCATCAAAAGTGTATACGGGCAGCGAGTCGTCTGCTTCTTCCGCAAGAGTTGCAGTGACATCAGAAAGACGCCGAGCTCTGACTGGCTCTGATTGAAAGACAGTGGGTAGACCTCAAAGCAAGCTGTCTTGACGTCTACCCACTATCCTTCATTCAGAACCAATCAGAGCTCTGATTGGCTCTGATTGAAAGACAGTGGGTAGACCTCAAAGCAAGCTGTCTTGGCGTCTACCCACTATCCTTCATTCAGAACCAATCAGAGCTCTGATTGGCTCTGATTGAAAGACAGTGGGTAGACCTCAAAGCAAGCTGTCTTGGCGTCTACCCACTATCCTTCATTCAGAACCAATCAGAGCTCTGATTGGCTCTGATTGAAAGACAGTGGGTAGACCTCAAAGCAAGCTGTCTTGACGTCTACCCACTATCCTTCATTCAGAACCAATCAGAGCTCTGATTGGCTCTGATTGAAAGACAGTGGGTAGACCTCAAAGCAAGCTGTCTTGTCGTCTACCCACTATCCTTCATTCAGAACCAATGAGAGCTCTGATTGGCTCTGATTGAAAGACAGTGGGTAGACCTCAAAGCAAGCTGTCTTGGCGTCTACCCACTATCCTTCATTCAGAACCAATCAGAGCTCTGATTGGCTCTGATTGAAAGACAGTGGGTAGACCTCAAAGCAAGCTGTCTTGGCGTCTACCCACTATCCTTCATTCAGAACCAATCAGAGCTCTGATTGGCTCTGATTGAAAGACAGTGGGTAGACCTCAAAGCAAGCTGTCTTGGCGTCTACCCACTATCCTTCATTCAGAACCAATCAGAGCTCTGACTGGCTCTGATTGAAAGACAGTGGGTAGACCTCAAAGCAAGCTGTCTTGGCGTCTACCCACTATCCTTCATTCAGAACCAATCAGAGCTCTGATTGGCTCTGATTGAAAGACAGTGGGTAGACCTCAAAGCAAGCTGTCTTGGCGTCTACCCACTATCCTTCATTCAGAACCAATCAGAGCTCTGATTGAAAGACAGTGGGTAGACCTCAAAGCAAGCTGTCTTGGCGTCTACCCACTATCCTTCATTCAGAACCAATCAGAGCTCTGATTGGCTCTGATTGAAAGACAGTGGGTAGACCTCAAAGCAAGCTGTCTTGGCGTCTACCCACTATCCTTCATTCAGAACCAATCAGAGCTCTGATTGGCTCTGATTGAAAGACAGTGGGTAGACCTCAAAGCAAGCTGTCTTGGCGTCTACGCACTATCCTTCATTCAGAACCAATCAGAGCTCTGATTGGCTCTGATTGAAAGACAGTGGGTAGACCTCAAAGCAAGCTGTCTTGGCGTCTACCCACTATCCTTCATTCAGAACCAATCAAAGCTCGGCGTTCTGACGTCACCACAACCCCCTGCAAAAGAAGCAGACGAACTTGCCCTCCGCATATGGCGCCCGTCGTCCTTGCGCTTGCTATCACATGCATGCTCCAATCACGCACAGTTCATGCGACATGATCCTGGGCTTTTTTGGCGAAGAACTACGTCTTTCTCCGCGCTTGGAACGGGGTGCAGAGCAGAAAGTTCGATGTCACGAAACCTTGGTCACGGAAGGGACGTCACACATATAGGCTTCTCGCACTGACGTCACATCGCACACTTTTGAACGCCAAGTAAGAGGAGGAGAGGGAAGCTGCTTTTGTAAGAATTTTGAGTGACAGGTTAATCTTCTATAATCTTCTGGGGGGAGAATAGCGACGCCTGTACAAATCCGGGAGGTACAAAGGAGGGTCCTGATAAGAGGGGAGCTCCTTCTTCCCCTCTTCTTTGGAGGGCAACGGAAATGACGTCCTGTGCAAGGAGCCTATTGGGGAGGAGGACAGACCGTGACGCCCCAAGCGGTTAACTTATCAACTACACGGATGGGGACAACAAATACAATGACGCAGCGCTCGGCCGACATAACCGAACGCGGCGTCAGCGTTCGACTGGAGTTCGTGTTCTCCGGCGAGGGGGAGGAGCGGCTCTTTTGTTTCCACGACGGCCTGCATGAACAATGCAGCATGCACGATCCCAGCTTAGCACAAAAGCCGAAGTGGGTCAAGCTCGCATTCTCTGAGGATAGATCCGGCACTTAACGTCGCTTCGTCGATTGTTAGTATTTTTTACATTAAACTGTGCCCCGCGCTCTATTGTAGAAGATGACATGGCCATGCCTATAAGGCCTGTTGGCATGTGTACAGGCCTTGTGTTGAGTAAACACCGAGCGTGGGGAAAACAAACGGGTCAGAGCGCCCCCTATAGTTCGATCTCGTGCCCAATAGGCTTCTTGTACTGTCGTCATATCGCACACTTTTGAACACCAAGTAAGAGGAGGAGAGGGAAGCTGCTTTTGTAAGAATTTTGAGTGACGGGTTAATCTTCTATAATCTTCTGGGGGGAGAATAGCGACGCCTGTACAAATCCGGGAGACACAAAGGAGGGTCCTGATAAGAGGGGCGCTCCTTCTTCCCCTCTTCTTTGGAGGGCAACGGAAGTGACGTCCTGTGCAAGGAGCCTATAACACCGACGAGAACCGCAAAGAGCGCACGTGTGTCCTCTCTTATCTGCTGGCTTGCTCATTGCTCGCTTTTACGCGATGCGCTCCTGTCTGATGGAAACGGCGATAAAGGCCGCTCTGGCGGCCGTGATTCCACATTCTTCGCTCAGCGCTCTGGTGCCCTAAACTCGTCAAACACAAAGTTGGAGGCAAAAGAGCGAAGTCATCGTGGAGATAGTCCAATCGGTGCGCTCAGTCATCTTCGGCCCGAACTTTGCGTTTGATTATTTAGAGGCCCTGCACAGCGGCACGGCCACGGTGTAAGATATTACTCTTCAGGTGAGGACAGCGCGCTCCTCGCGACGTGCCGATAAAGTTCGCTCTTCACTCTTTCTCTTTCTCTCTCTCACTATGGTTTCAAGTGGCGGCGGCAGGTGACTCGTCGACCCGTGGGCACGTATACAAGACGGCTTGTGCCGCGTCATGTACCACACGCGCAGAGCTCCAGCGAGGTTGTCGCACGTGCAGAAAAAAAAAACGGTGTACCGGGGTGTCATGGCAACGAGATAATTTTTTTCGCTCTCACACACTTTCGCCGTTTGGCCGCCGGCGACACTGTCAGCCGCGGGCACGGTGGCAGCGGAATGACGCAACCTTTCTGATGCCCGTCGAACGAACGCTATCTGATTCCTGGCGCCGCGCGTTCAGCCCCGCCGTGTCCTCACCTAAAGAGTGTGTATCTCACACCGGTGGCCACGGCTTACACCGTGACAGCGTCCGAGCTCGCGTGCTCTTCGGCACGGGCAGTTCACACGATTCCAACATTTTCGAGTCCTCAGCCCACCGTGCGTATCTGCTCAGCTTCGCAAAGCGAGCAAATCACGCGCCGTATACACATGTACAATGAAAATGGAACCGGCCAGGAGGCCTTCTTTGGAAAGGTCGCTAAAGTACCCAAGCACCAAGGAGCATGCTGCGAGTGTAGATACACGCGCTGCACGTGCTGGCGTCTGCACCAGGTACTCTTCTAAAACGAACGCCTAATAAAAGAAATGGCATCTCGCACGCGTGTTTGTCAATGGCTTATCTTGTCTATTTACTTGGAATCTTTTATATACGGGGAAGGCGAGCGCGTGCGTCGCGTGTACCTACATGATCAGCACCCTCCTCGATGCTTGGGTGATTTCGCAAGGTCTATTCCGCATATGCACCTCGGTTGGAAAAGTGTCGCCATTCATTGCTGTGGAAATGCTCGAGACACGTGCCGCGCGCCACTTCTGGGAAGAACATGGCGTCTGAAATCTAGCTCAGTGCTGCGCTGTGCTGCCATGATGTTCCCAAGGCTGCACGTTGCACGTGCCTCGTGCATCGACGCACCTTGAGCTACTCTTGAAACACGAAGGGGCTTTACATGTCTACCTCTACCGGACTCCGAGCCACGTGCATTCCCTTCTTGCGCACATGACATCGCCATGCGGCAGGAGCCCGTGGACGTTCCTTCAGCAAAGGCCGTAGTTCTACGAAAATTTGTGCTGTATAGTTTGGTTATTATTGCGAAAGGATTAATTGTCCCATTGAGCGAAGCCGGCGGCGTCTGTAACCGCAAAAAAAAAACGAGGCATAAATTCTCATTTTCCCATTGGCTGAGCGAAACGGTACCTAAATTCCCATTGTCAGCGACGCGTCGTAGTTCCAAGGAACGTCACCCCACAGTTAAGCCCTCTCCTGGCGCTGCTGCCCGCGCCCCTGTAAAAGGGAGGATGGCGCCGGTAAAAGGGAGAATGGCGCGCGCGCGGCCGCCGCTCTCTACCCCCCTCTCGGGTCACGTGTCAGGCGTGTCCGGGAAAGGGGGGGGAGGGGGGGAAGTGAGGAAAATTCTTGCTCCCTCTCCCTGTGCACTACTGTATCACATGTTCTACGCTCTGCTTTAGCTATGTCGCGCCACCCGGCTGGCCACTGCAGAGGACAGCGGGGAGCTGTCCTTTTCGCAGCCCGCTGCCCGCACTGCCCAGCAGGTTTCAGGCCGGCTTAAAGAGATTGTCCGGTCAAAACCGAAAGTGCTTAAGTTTTTGCGCTCTTTGCATCGAGGGAGCCTTCATGTAGACAAACAACATTTTTATTTTGATATATGATCTCCCGTTATTAACTAAACCTTTCATGAACGTATGTACGAAACTGCACCCCGAATTTCGCCACTTTCAATGGCTGGCATCCGTAGCTGCTGCGTGACGTCACAAAACGCAAAGGTTTGTCGGATGGTCGGGATAACAAGCGTTGGTCGATGGATGTCTTGTATTTTGTTTCGAATTATATAGCCTCCTAGGCCCGTGGTTCTCTATGGGGGTCCGCCAAGGCGTGGTCCGCGAAGCCCTGCCTCATCAGTCAAACCCGGCAATAAAAGTTTTTTTTTTTTTTTTTTCAGGTCGAAAAGAAATGTTGGTTTTCGGACGAGTTTTTTCGTGTGAACGTCAATAAGAGAATTCTACTTCACACTAGCCCTTAGGTATATCCATTTATTAAATCGTTATTATATTTAACCTATATCTTTCCTCTCCTCTCACCACGAACGGGGTTCTCCATCATCTCCGCCGATCCACAAGGGGTCCGCGAAACATCGATGGTTGAGAACCACTGTCCTAGGCTGTACCCTACTGAAATACGGTTCTTTTATTGCAGTTCCCAAGCGTGTGCAAAAAAAGTCACGCCTTTCAGCAGGATATTACTCGAAAACAGCCATAAGCTTCGAGCAACTGACACAACTGCGACGGCCACCGATAGAATTAGGAGCGCTTGCAAAGCAAAGGATGCAGATTTCGCCTCTAAAGCGGCAACTAAGTACACGAAGCGGTATCTGGGTGCACATATCGGCGGATCCACTGGGAGGCTGCGGGTCTTTCCCTCGGAGGCGATGACCGCGGGTCGAAGGCAACCGACGAATCGTTCAAATGCATGTCGTCACTTGACTTGGACGAATTTGGTGAATCGTAGCCTCGCTCTATCTGCACGTGCGGGTCAAACCGAATTTGGCTGCACGCGTGCTAAATACAACTTCTGGTATCGTTTCCAGGTGGTCTAGCTGTTGGTTTCGGTTTCGCTGCATAAACAAATTGATTGATCCGATTTGGGCGAGGAGTGAATGGACGTAGTTTAATATCGTTGGCACAGCATCACACCTCAGCTTACGAGCCTTCTGTCCGCTTAGAGATCAGCTCGTAGCTCTCTTCTGTGAGATGATTGCTGCATAAGCGGGATCTCGATCTTGACGGGAACCTAGTCCCTACGCACGGCGACGATCCATTTTGCTCGTCACCGCACGTCTCGCGGAAAAGTGTGGAACGTCATGTCTTGGCTCGCATGTGCTGTCCGGTGGTTGTGGCACCCAACCGCGCAACAAAAATTTTACCCAACCACAAAAACAAGTCGAGCACAACAACAAAAACTTAGCACGCTGAGGCGTTCACTCGCAGGTAGACGACGAGACAGAAATGCTCGCTTTGTGTTGTGTGACGTCAGAGCTCCCGTGTTGCCACCGAAAACAGCGTTTACGCTAGAGTGCGATTGGAGCAGTATAAATTCAATTACTAATGCAGAGGGGTATATAAAATTCCGATATTGCACGTACGATGCGTCTCGAGGCAATAAAAATGATGTTCAATTGTTTTCTCGAATACAAAATTTGACCGGACAATCCCTTTAACCTTACTCCGGCGGCTTCTTCGCAGCTCGGAGTGGACAAGTTCGAGCCCAACGGCGCGGTGTCGGCGGCCACTGACACGACGTCCGGGCACCCCGGACGCACCACGTACGGCCGGGTGTGCAAGCCGTACCGGGACGTGCAGGAACCCGTGAACGTCGAGTGTCAACTGGGAACCCTCGTGGACTCCGACAAAGAGTACCAGGTGGCCTTCGCCGGACCGCGGGAACTGAAGGCGCGCATGCGCAACACGTACGCCGACGGCATGGGCTCTGTGCCCGTCGTCGTGCATGGCATCGACCTTGACGACTTCTTGGGCAACTGCCATGGCGTGATGTCGCCCCTGATACACGCCATCGCCACGGGAGGGCCCTGGGCAAGAAAACCTCTTATTTAGTCTATACTCCGTTCCATCTTACAGTGCACCTCAGCCGACGTTACGAACCGCCCGGGTCAATCCAGTGCCACTTGATGTGTCAAGGGACACTCAAAAGTGGCCTGGATTGGCTGAGATGGCTCGTAGCGTCCGCTGCGGTCTATCGTAAGGTGAAAGAGAGTATTGACCTCCTTCATTCTTGACAGCAACTGGGGAGGTGGCCACTTGAGTGCGAGCTTCAGGATGCTTGGCCGAAGCTCCACTGCAAGGAAGTCAGGTTTATCAACTTTCGCTGCAGCCTCAGTTCAGCTTCACGGAAGTTCTAGCCACTGGACGAGCAGCCAACGACTAGACTTCCGCAAACTAAGGCAGTTGGGAAAATGCGCTGAATGGGTGGGAGAGAATTACGACGCCCTAGCCCAAATTGACAGGAGTGAACTGTAGGAATGTATATATGCTGTGCTTTCTTTGCTTTGCACATCTATTCCTTTTATTTTAAATACCTGTATTATATATAAATATCTGATTCTTCAATTTTACAGAAAGCACTTGTTAAGGCGCATTCTTCCTAAAGAATGTCATATCTCGAGTGGCATTTTTTTTTCTCTCGCATACTTCGTGAGATGTACGCGCACGTTCCAGTCTGCTCAGGCGCAGACTGGGACCATCCTGACCGAACACCTCAAAGACTACCTTAAAGGGGCAGAAGGCACACCACGATGCAGCACCTGCCAGCACCCCAGTATTATACCCAGCAGCTTTGGGACTGCCCCAAGACGTAGCAGCATGAACTCGAGCAACTCTGCAAGCGCTTCGAGACACACTCAAGCCCGGAAGCTGCAGGGAGCAGTAGAGTGCCCCAGTGCCTTTATGTGTAGGGTGATGTCATTCTTTGCAGCATACCGACGCCGACAGCACGCACTCCAAGTGAAAATAATAAGATATCGCCGAAAACGAAATGCCGCCGTAGCACTGTCAATGCCAAGAGCACGAACGGCTTTATTAGGAGCGACCAGCTCACTCCGTGTTTTCCTATGGGAGTGCGCGGGCCAAGAAATATCACGTGAACGGCTTGGAGGGACCGAGTGTTCCGCTAGGCGCCGCCGTAGTTCAACACCAAAAGCGCGGCGATTGCTATGGAAGGCAGTGGGAGCGTGTGTAAATAGCGTTGGTTTCAGATAATTTTTGTCGAATTGAATAGGCAGGCGCTAATGCTAAAACATAGTGTGTACAGAATAGGTTAAAATAAGTCACTATAATATAGTTTTCTCCAGCAGAATAGTTAGTATTGTGAGCTAAGCATCAGTATAGGGTTTACGAGTGTACATGATGGTGCATCCAGTCCGCCTGGTGGAGCCGTGATCGTAATGAAAAAAAAATCGAGTTAGATGCTCCGCAGGTGGGCCGTGACGCTCTTGGTGGATGTTCGAAGTGAGACGCTGTCGATTATTGGTGAACTGGTGACTGGCATGGGCATGGGGAGGGGGGGGGGGGGGGGGGGGGGGTTGGAGTTGCACTGCACGGAGTGCAAAGGAGTTTTAGTGACGAAGCGTACGGGTTAAAAGGGGCTGCAGTTTACCAGTGCGATTATGCCTCAGGGAGGAGGCAAAAGGAAGCGAGGAGTTCTGTAGCAGGAAAGTGGCTAGGAGCCGCGTGGTCACTACTTGACGTCGATGTTGAAGAAGCGGGTCCCAGCCGACTGAACGGAGAAGGCGCAGCGCTCTATAGGATGGTGTTTGGGGGCTAAGTTGGCGCCTCATAATAAGGTAGGAAGTGCGACGTCGCACCGACTAGAAGGAGGCAACAAGTTGCCTGGTTGCCGAATCCCATACTGAGCATCGAAACTCCAGGATGGGCAACACCAGTGCTGTGAACAGCAATCTGGCCACATCGGAACTGGCTTTTCTTGTGGACCGAATGACGAAGCCAATGAGTCACCTTTCCCCGGACACGAAGTTTTGGACATAGCAATAAAAATCGAAATGCTGGTCAATGATGACACATAGCAGGTGGATACGCGTTGTTCTTGGGATCTCCACTTGGTTCAGGAAAAGTGTTGGAAGGGTCAAAGGATGGCGCTAGGCAGTGATGTGCATGGTAATGCATTTGGTTTAAGTTTAGAGGAAGTTATCCTTTGACCAGAGAAGAATGCGATCTAGATCAGCTTGTAGCTCTTTACCGAACGTACAGTCGCAATAACGATGAGAAAAGTCCTTAAAATACAGCCGCTTATTTTTAAAAACGTCGCCGTTCGTGGAGCGGACACACAAATACATACGCGAAAGCGTCTGCTAGTGTGTTAAGCTACAGCGCCAGAAAACGCGGTGGCGGTTCAGCGAACTAGAGAAAGTACTAAATAAGCAAAAACAAATGCGGCGCGCTAGCGCTGCCTCGGGTGACCTAAAGCTCCTTAATTCATGTTTCAAAAATTGGGTTGTGTGTATGTTTATACAGCCTAGAACTTGGTCTGCCTCACAGGGGCGACGAGTCTCCCAGCTGTAGATGAGCAATTTAGCCTGTGCAGTACAACCGCTAGCCTGGGGTCTTTAACGTGCATCACGCAGTAGTGATACACGACCGCACGCCGGTACGATGCTCGTCCAGATCGAAACGGGCAGGGGTGGGGCTCGAACCCAGGATCCCTGGGTTCTGCAGCGCGAGCTTTCGCTCCACGCGCGTCGAGCTGGGTGTGCGCTTCAGCCCACTCGGCCACCGATCCCCCCAATTCATGTTTCAAAAGTAGCGCAGGGTGCGTTGATGCAAGAGGCACGTGCAACGTGCAGCCCTTGGGAAGATCATGGCGGTACAGCATAGCACTGAGCTAGATTTCAGACGCCATTTTCCTCCCATAAGTGGCACGCGGCACATGCCTCGAGCATTGCCACAACAATGAATGGCGCCGCTTTTCCCATGATGACCTGGTCGCCGCTACTGGCGACGTGCGCGATCGAAAGCGTCGCTGTGGTCGGCCTGCCACGATTGGCCGAATGCTGACTATGACGTCAGCAAAGGATTTTTCATCAACGGAAATAAGAGTATTGAAAGAACTTCAATTTTGGCGGTGTTGGTAGTGTTGGTTTCAGAGCGCAATGATTTTAGGCTCCCACTATGCTAATTACAAACACCACCGAACTTGTTGTTCGCAAGGTAATGACGTCACGAGAGGAAACCATAGGAGGGCGCTACCCAAGCATCTCGCCGATAATAAAGTCGGTCATGGCCAAGAATTCACGCAGAGGGATGCACTTTCACGCGCTCGAGAACAAAAAAAAAATGGTCGGGGACAAAATGGTTAGATGTCATCACCCTGCACAGCGCACATGAAGGGACCGTAGGGAGTGCTAGGGAGTAGAGCCATTAAGAGGGCGCGGTACCTCTATTTATTCGTCCGTTTCAGCCACCAGATGGCGCGCGGCTCGAAACGTGGTTGAACGCGCAACTTCTAGATGGCGCCAGTATCGAAGTGTGAAAAGGCCCGCGTTATCCGCTGCGTGAAATAGATCCCGAAATGTGCCGTGTTCTCCCGGCGGAGGAAGTTTCTCCCTCCCTCGCGCGCGCTTGGTATGTACGCGCGTCGCGCGGTGGCCGAGTCCGGCCTCTGCGCTGTGTGATGCAGTGGACAGGGTTGCCAGGTTGGGCTATAAATAGCCAAATTGGGCTAGTTTTATTTGCAGTTGGCGGGAAAAAATGGTTTCCGGCTTGAGCGGCGTCGGCGTAACCGCGCGGAGCTTTATGGGACGCGTGACGTCACTGGTGACGTTATCATGATCTGCGTCGTCATCGTCTCTGATGACGTCATCAGTGACGCCACTAATGACGTCATCGTGATCTGCATCGTCATCGTCCCTGATGACGTCATCAGTGATGTCACTGATGACGTCATCGTCATTGTCACGTGACCTCATAGGGGTCACGTGACCCCCGTGAGTTCACGTGACCCTCGTGAGACGACGGCGACGCCGCTCGGAGGGAGGAGCAGCAGACAGGATGAGGAGGTGAGGACGAGGGAGGAAGGATATACCTTATCATCAGTAACCGTCCCCTCCCCCTCCTCAAGAGCTGCGCTCTAATCCGGCGTTACAGGGAGTTGAAAACGGCTTTTCTTTTTTTAATTAGTGATTTAGTTGTTTTCGATGACGTTCAGCAAGTTTCTAATTTAAACCTTATGGCTATAGATTCCCTAACTAAAAAGTTATGGCCAAATTTTACTTACTTATTCAAATGATTGTTACGATTAGCCCCCTAAACTATGTCCTCCAGGCCTTATTACTCACCTGCACAAACCGCATAAGTGTAGCTTTCACGGCTTATTTCTAAAAATATAATGAGCATTAAAAAATGAAAGACGTTTTCAACGCCCTGTAAAGCGCGAGACACGTGCGCGAAAAATCCAACCGATCCGACGTCCGATCCGGCAATACGACTGCCTGATCCGAAAAGTTCGGTCGCTTCAGGCGTCGGATCGGCGATCCGGCGTGAGTCCAGCATGCCAGATAGTTTCGCACGGCGGACGGACTGTCGGAAGCGTCCAGCCAATGACAGCGCAGCTAGCGCGAACGTCATAATAGGGAGCTTTAGTAGATCGTTTTCAAAGGCCCGCTACCGCTACGAGCGCGCGCTTCAGAGCATGCATCGAAGTGGCAACGCGAGCTCCCGCTACGATTAGCGTGGCCGGAAAACACGATCTACTAAAACTCTCTAATACTGGGTTTGGCGAAACGAGCACGATAACGGGACGGGCGAGGGGAAGCCGGACGCGTGAATCCCGCTGACCCATCCGAGAAAGATGACCGCAGCAAAGAATGCACGCGCTAGCGAGAACGAGCTCGTAATTTCGCTCCTGCGAGCTAACCGTCAATCTGGGACCAGAGATTTCCTGGGCGGCGCCGAAAGGATCGTCGCGTCGCATTTAAGGTCAAAAGCATGTGTCTCAAACTGTTGCGTGCGACAATTCGGAGCGGCGTTGGGACTGTCGGGTCGGAAGATTGTGCCGTCCATGTGTCTCGCGCTTAACACCGAATTAGAGCGCAGCTCTTGAGGAGGAGGAGGAAAAAGTACTGAGGAAAGGGTATATACCTTTCCTCCTCATCCTCCCTGCTACTCCTCCTCCCCTCCTCTTGTTCGTCCTCCTCCCCTCATCCTTCAAGCTCCTCCCCTTATCTCATCCTCCTCCCCCTCTCCGCTCTCCTTCTTCTTATCCCTCCTCCTCCCATCATCCCTTCTCTTCCTCCTCCTCCACTCCCCTTCGTCATCCTCCCCCTCCCCGCGCGTTGCATCACGGGAAATGTCCCATGATGCACCGCGCGGGACCCTCGTGACTTTACTCGACGTCCCGAGGGTCTTGCGCGGTGCATTGTGGGACATTTCCCATGACGCAACGCGCGGTTACGCCGACGGCGACGCCACTCAAGTCGGAAATGGGCGCCTAAGAGCTGCGCTCTGAAAAAAATCCATATCGTATAGGTATGTTACAGCGTCTCTACTTACCGCATATTTGTCTCATCTTAGGTCACAGCAGAGTTCGAAAACTCGACCACATACAACCGCACATACTAAAAGCGCTAGTCATGGGACACTCACTGGTGAATAGCAAGACGGTGGTGTGTGTGTCCTTCCTGTTTCCGTGTCTCCTGTTTTAATTATGTTGCTTACCACGCACTGCTCTTTATTGGTATTGCCCATGAAAAAACGTGTGCAGACGAATACCACGATGTCGCGCTTTGATGCTGTTTGATGTGTCCGCTTGGTTCGTAGCGTCGGCTTGCGTTTTAAGACGAAACGAAGTATAAAGGTTGCTCGTGAACTGTGCTGGCCGGTTGATGCGCTGGACGGTTGATCGCCGATAGCGTCTAAATTTCCAGACGATGTCGGCAATGTCAAAAGCTAAAAGCCGCGAAAAAAAAAAAGTGCGATGGCGGCTACTGTGGTAAGCCAGAACCAGGTTTCTGCACCCCTGGCTAGACCACTGGAAGGGGCCGTGCAGCGACATTCGCTTGTAATAATTTTCACTTTACACGAGCTTACTGGCACTAGTGGGTCACAGCTGTATACTCACACGCAACGAATGACCAAGAAACTCCTTTGTTGCGGTGTATTTTCAAGGACAAATGCGAGCGTTTTCTCTCAATATCTCCTTCGGAAAACTTGATGACGCAGCTGACGTGTCGCAGTACCCTCCAGTGTTGACATTTCAATGTGGCTCATAGATTGGACTCATGCATTGAGGGAGCACTCCATTTGGGCTCGTGATATTCAACAGCTGATTCGACAAGCATTCGGGTATTGCCCCGTGTCCAATCTCTGCGATGAGGACAATAGACGAATTACAACAACGTCTGGAACTCAGTGCGTGTCCTGTGCTTCGCCAACCCCAGTGCGTGGCTGTGATCAACACTAGCGGCATATAATCGGTTCCAGATCACGTAGGCCGCTTGTTCTGGCTGTGAGTTGCATAGGCAAACGTGCTGGTTTTTCTTTTAATTATTTTTTTTTCTGCGACTTCAGTTGCACGGGGTGAGAATCGAATGCGTCTCATAGGCCATTAACGTGAGGTATACGTTCTAAGCGGTACATAGATCGTTGCGTCGCCCCTTTAGTTATCATGTGTGGCACATGGCTCTGTGCCGTGGTTCCAGTGCACCACGGCACCTTGGGCAGCTTCCGTCAACCTTCAGCGCCTCTCACCAGCGCCTGCGTCGGTCTTCGCCGGTTTGCACCGGAGTGCTAGGAGCAGCGGCTGACACGGGGGAGCGCCTGGTTTGTCGTGATTGGCTTTGAACTTATGTTCGGTACTTTTACAGGTCTACCTTTTTTGGTCTTAAATCTCGGTCAACCCCTCATTATAAAAATATTTGCCGATAAAATTTAAGAAACACCAATGTATATTTCTATAGATACGGTAGTCAATGTAGTTCCTGTCTAACGAAAGAGCGGCAAACTTTGACTTGACACTGGCTCCAACGTCGCCAAAGAGCATTGTCAGTGTTAATGCACGAGTGTAGGTTTTCATAGTAGTTGTAGATGGTTGTTTCTTCAGTTTATGATATATTACACATCATTCCTGATAGCAGATAGGCTGGTATTTGCCGGAATTTTGCACAAATTATGTATATAGACATAGTAACTACCCGTAAAAGAGAAAGGAAGAGTCTTTATCGCGATAAAATGTTGCACTATGATTCATTTTTAAATCCTGTTTTTAATACTCATTGTAAATGAAATTTACTGTGACCTCCGCCTTATTCCTAAAGAAGGCCCTGTGAATTCCTTTTGTTCCCTACCTATTCTTATTAGAAAAAGGTAGGTAATATGCTTCAGCATCAAAGAGGAACCCTCAATCATTATCAAAGATAAACTCATTTAGCGACGCAGACACATTTTTTTTTTTTTCAAGTGATGTGCTAACAGATGTTGGCATCTGCTCCAAAAGCGTCAGTGGCTGCTCCAAATCATCAATATTTTGCCTGCTAAAAAAGGCCGACTGCCGATTCCACGCTGCCTAAAGGATAGCGCACCCCCCCCCCCCCCCCCCCCTTTTTTTTTTCAGCAAAATATTTTTTTTTCGTCCAAATGAAGCGCTAGAGGTTCTAATCACATACCCAAGTTTGAGAATTAATCATCTCGTTCAAACGCTATAAGTGATTTTCTGATAATTTCGATTGGAAAATGGCGCCCATTTTCGGTAACTGACGCCATTCAGCTCCATGTGTTCGAGAGCTCCACCGGCAGCCATTTTCCCGCTGTAAATTTCAGAAAATCACTATTAACTTTTGAATAAGATAACGGGGAGAGTTCTGAAACTTTGGCATCTGGTTCAGACCACTAGCGCTATATTTGTGTGGAGAACGAGCGCTCGTCGAGGCGTAGTTCATTTTTCTGTTAAGAAAAAACGAAACAAAATTTGTATAATAAATGTATATAATTTTGGGGGGCTATCGGAAAGAGGGGGGGCACTTTGTAGTGCCTGCAATATTTGGTTGTTGGGTGAAGGAACAATGCAGATCGCAAGTTCGTCTGCTTCTTTTGAAGGGGTTGTGGTGACGTCAGAAAAACGCCGAGCTCTGATTGGCTCTGACTGAAGGACAGTGGATAGACCTCAAAGCAGGCTGCCTCGAGGTCTACCCACTATCCTTCAATCAGAGCCAATCACAACTAGGCGTCGTTCTGAGGTCGCCGCAGCTGCTGCCGAAGAAGCGACTTGCTCTTCACATAAGCACAGACTTAACCTCACGAGGGTTTGCCGTTAGGGTTTGCCGTTGTCACTGCCGAGTATCTGCATTTCACAGCGGACCTCGGTGCTGAGGCCTGGTATCCTAATGTAACGTATCGAATACTAATAAATATTTTTATGTCACAAAATATTCTTCGCAGCCATCCCTTTCCCCGAATTCGCAGACGCGCTTTTTTCAGAGGCTCAGCTGCCAACGCTCACCCATTCCTAGGAGAAGATCGTAGTTTTCCTTGAGATTGGTCATCCTTGATTTCACGTAGAATGACATGGCGTTCCATTCTTCATCCGAGAAGTATTCTCGGATGAGACTGAAGCGAGGCAGGTCTTCGGAAGACATTTTCGTTGGGACTCAGTCGAGTGGCGGTCGCAGAGCGGGATTCCCAAGAGACGCTCAACTGTCGTCTGCTAAACTTCCCGCGCTTGCCGCCACTTTTTTTTGGTCGGCCAACAGAGCGTGACACTGCGCATCGGAAAACGTAATAATGATAACTTTTTATTAACGGTTTTCGCATTTCGTTGCATGTAAATTTTTGGTTACGCATTTACGGTTACATTTCTCGAACCTTTTCTCGCTCTCATCAGATGGCAGGGCAAGAGAACCGGAAGTCGTACCGGAAATCAATTTGAAATCCCAGGCTCCCAGGCGGCAATGGCGGCAATGTTTGTTCGTTCTCAGAAAGTTGTGTCCGTTGGTTCATCGTTTCGAACGTGAGCTCTGAAATCCATCCCATTTCTTTTACAACGTGCAGCTGCTCCCTTCCTGCATTATTTGCCGGATCAAGGAGCATCATTCGGAAGGCAGCTCGGTTAGTCAGATCCGAGTGTAACCATCGTATAATAGCTTTTGAATTGTGTTTCTATTATCGCTAATCTCTCGAGGTCCGCTGGAAACGTTTCGGATCCCGCTTTTGACATAGAGTTATTAGGGAGTTTTCGTAGACCGCGCTGGCCCCCTCCGCTAAGCGTTCCGCAACGAAGAAGTTGCTACTGCGCCTGCGCGCCGATAGCCTTGACTGTGGAGTTCCCGCTATCGTAGCGGGTTGCGGAGGGCCTTGCGGGACGGCGAAAACGATCTACGAAAACTCCCTATTATAATAAACGCTAGAGGCTCAGCTGGCGCTAGTGTCTACGGGACTTCCGGTTGCAAATTGAAGCAGACAGCATGCAGTCTACTTTTCCTGTCTTCCTGTGTATTCCTATGGGAAAACGCGCGTGAATTTTGTCTCGTCGCCGGAAAATAACATTAATAACTTTTGTTATTTCGGTTGTACCGGATAGTATGTACCTTTATTAATATTTTGAAAGTGTAATTGCTTTAGTTACAGCATTTTTCCTTTACCACTGAACGATGTTAAACTTCGCTATATTTCAGGCCCAAACCTCTGTTTCATGGCAGGTATGTAGAAACGAGCGTCGATTCCAAGCAAAATAACAATCGAAAGGAATGTAGAGTGTGTTTAAAGTTCGGCAGCATTCCGTTGGTGCTTATATATTGCTAATATATGCCTGTCCTCTCACTATATAAAAATGACCCCGGCGTGCACCTTTAAGAGGGGTTAAAAAAAACGTTGCAAACGTAAAGAATAAAGTACGTGGGCTACGAAAGGTGTATTTTCTTATTATTTCCTATGTTGGGCAGTTTTTATCGGGCACCTGTTCTCTGGCTTCCCCCATTTGCAAAGATTTGGAGCGTGCAGGTGATGATTTGAACGCAGAACAAGCATCTTCGCATGTATTCATGAGCAGAAAGGATAAAGCAGTACTTATTTATTGCAAATCGGACTATATTACGTAACTTTCAATTTATTTTCATCATCTGCAAGCACAAAGAGTTACTTATCCAGTGTTACTGTGTAGTTCTTGCCGTAGCTCTCTTGGTTTTCCACATGTCCTTCGTTCGTTTGGCACGTATTGGCCTCGAGATCGACCTAGAGGTGGCGCTACGGTCGCGCTATCATCATCATCAAAGCGGGGATAGGAGAACGGCCGCCCCATAGGCTCTCCACGTTCGCACGCGGACGGCGTAGATTCTTGCGTTTATTTTGTCGCATACTATCGGTGGCAAAACAATTCTAGCGGAAAAGGATGCGGTACTGTTCGGTGCTTCAGTGAAGATCAAATCGTGTTGCCAGCGTGCGGCCTAAATTTTTATAATCGCCTCTGTGTGTGCGTCGTCTGCTCTAGGCAGACGTTAAAAAGCATGGATAACCACGACTGATGCCTGTCTCCGGCCGAACTGGAATATTTATGTTAAATATTTGTTTATTTTAAAATGGATGTATCGGTTCATCAACATGGGAATTAAAAAAAATAATAAATTCCAACCCAGATAACAAAATACTGGTGTTGTGGGCTGTGAAATCGCAGCCTCTGTGCTTTGTTTTTTTAACTTCTAGCTTTTGCAGTAATATAATAATCAAGAATGAAGATAAGTTAGCGCTGTAATGGAAATTACCATGCTATTAAGTTCCTCTGCCCTTTTACTGTGCCATAGTGTGGGTAGGTTCTTTGGTGTCTGATAAATCGAATGCGTTGCAATGAGGGGACAGTGTCTCTTCTAGTTAAGATCTGCGAGCTGCACAGTTGGCAGGACAACTGAAACAAACTTTTCTAATATATCTGCCGAGGCTGTAATAAAAGAGTGTAACCGAGCAACGCAGCAATGTTCCGATTATTAAATGGTTTTCTCGGTAGTGTGGGTTCACCCGCTTGAATTTTTTTGGTGAGCGCCGCGGATGTCAAAAGGCTAATACTATAAATATCTGGCTAAATAATCTTGTATTCAAACACGGTAGACTTTGCAACCCAAACACACAATGCACACCACAACACAGACAGCATCAATCGCAGTGATACTCTTTTATTGATGAGGGCTAGCGACCTTCACGAGACTTTCCGATCACCCTCCGCCCTCACCTAACGTACATCGGGACTGGACAGTTCATCGATTAACTTTCAGATTAATCAAGTAATGCTTTAATTGCATTTTTTTTGCCAGTTAATTGGAGTCTTGTGCTGGAGAAAGTCAACAAGGAGTAAAAAATGCCTGCATTAATATTTTTGACGTCTCTATTTGTTTTGTGACACAGGCTTGCACGGTAAACCACTTCAGCGTGCTTGTCATTTCGCCGAGGGTGATTATATGGTTTAAATAATAACTTTAAAAAAAAACTCCATTTTAAAAGGCTTCCCGTGTTCATATTTATGTAGGACTCACAACGTGAAGTTTAAAATGGGAATGCAATATGTCATTTATGGCATATAGTAAAACCAGCAAACAAATGTGTAGTTTTAACGTCTTTCACTCAATATGAGTGAAAGACGTTAATCAACATACGGATTTATTGATTGATTAGTCTATTTAAGGATAGTGATCAGTCGGGTTACTTTTCTAATCAAACCGCAGACCCACTCAACATTCGATGCTTTATGAAAGCCACGGTTTGTGCGAGATACAAAAAACATGTGGGACTGGCGATTGTATACAAACCAACACACTAAGATTATGGAAGCTTCCGACTTAATAGTAATCGCTTTGCTGAATTTCTACACATGGGAAACGATACAACACAACCTTTAGTAAGAAGAAACGGCAACGAAAACATAAAACATTTAATAAGGAATGTCAAGCTCAGCCTCAAACGGGCTTGTGTCGTCGAGATCCATGTTTCTGAGCGTGCGCCCGTAGCAGACGACGCACGGCGGGATCCCCGCTTTCGCACGTTTCCAATTTCGGCCGCACGGTGGCGACACGGTTCGATCTCGGGGCGATATACCCCCATGCTGTAAAGCGCCGGCGCCGTGTTCGCGCTAACAGTGTCCGACAGTGCACATAAATACATGTACGAAGCGGTTTTAGCACCGTTTTTCATGCGACGAATATCAAATAAAAACGCCGTAACTGACCAATTATTTAATCTGCGTGTCTGGGAAATGTTCTAATGTGCCTAGTACTTACGAATTATTCTTGATATTTGCTCTTATAATCGAGCGCAGAGAGGAAATGCACTCGCTTTTTTCCGTAGAAATGCATTACCGGAAGTCAATTTCGGACTGCTTGCTGTCTGCTTCAATTTGCAACAGCACACTAGCGCCAGTTGAACCTCTAGCGCGCATTATAATAACTCTATGGCTTTTGACGTTTATTATTATTATTATTATTTTATAATTATTTTTATTATTAATTTTTTTTTTACTTGTTCACTTTGTACTAGAAAAAAAGAAAACCTTTGACGGGCTCTGAAAATGTGAGACATATGCTGTTCGATTGCGAGTGTAGTTTTACGCGCTGACATTAGTGAAGTTGTCGGGAATCGTAGAAGGAAGAGCAAACAGGGCAAGACGTAAGTATCTTAGCATGTTAGTCTCGCTCCAGCGTTTGACCGTGCTGTTTTACTGACATCGACGCCTGCGACGCTAAGCTTCTTCTATATTGTTTTGAACGCAAGTTCGCCGGATTAAACGTTTAGTTCCTCAGTTATTTGCCGCCTCATCATTTGTCATTCGTGACAGCATCGGAGCTTGTTCGAATATGAAGGCCTGCCCACAATGCATCTGATATTCTTGAACAGTGTCCACCGCATGACTGCAACTGGTTAAGAAAGTGCAGTTTTTTCATGTCACTCAGAATCTACAATCCTGTATCCAGAAAATAATCACTAGGCTAATAGCGAGACTACCTTTAATTTTGGCAAGCCTCCATGGTACGCATAGTTTAAAGTAAGATTCCTGGTTTGATAATCCAGTTTGAATGTTACCGTGATAAAATTCATACATTTTTTTTTGCTGGGGACTCAATATTAAAATTCTTACTCACCCATCTATGATGGTCCGACTGCCCCAAAAAGATATTTGTAGCATTACATCTCCTTTATTTTAATGTAGCTCAAGATTCAATATTCTGCAATGGGGCGACGAAGCGGTTTTCGGTGCTGTCAACCTGGAGCGCCGAAGCGTGGTGGGGCAGCCCTGCAGGCGGCTGAAGCGAGCAGCTCAGCAGAGGGCACTGACTCTTGACAAGCTGGCAGCCGTGGGCAGTAAGTTGTTTCTCTTTGCTCCCAACATGCTAGACTCTACCATTTATTTGCAGTCATCAATATGACTTCATGTTGACCACTTTGAGTGCTCTTTATTCAGTAAATACAAAATGAAGTATATGCATAAAGGTTGCTTGCATGTGAAGAATGGCACCATTTCTTATGATAATGACAGACCTGACGGAAGAATGTTCCAATCACGGACATCTGCACAGAGTATTACAATACTTAACACCTACAAGGAATCGCTCTAATTATTAAAGGGTAAGGTGATGTTTGTACATAATCAACAATCTTTAGTAACTCAGTTAAATAATTTTCAATTGTTTCCAACATCGTCATGCTTGTTGCAGAAATTGAGTTAGTCTTTTTTGACCTCCGTTTACTGAAGATCGCTTTGACTGTCATCACAGACGTAGCTTTGTTTACAGCTGCACTTATCAATTTTCTCCACCGAGCCACAATGGGCTGTGGTTGCAGAGGAATATAGTGTACTATTACAGCGAATGTGAGCTGAAACGCCATGACACCTTGCGCTCGGGACTATTAGTGCTGTTTGTCGTATCACTGGGCAAACGCACGCTGGGCCGAGATACATTTACTCCTGTGTTCGTTACGCCGTTCCAATCTTCGTCACGATGGGTGCACCATGCAACCCATTGTCTATAGACACTTGTGAAGGCCTTATTCTTAGATAATTTCCCTCTGCATCTTTGCCAGGGAAGGGACAAATTAAATTGTTATTTACCAACTTGCGCGCTTTTTACTTGAGTGAATTTAACTTTCTTCTGCAAACAGATTAGGCCTTTCTGGAGCATTCATTAACACGCCCTCAGAACCGGCATTTCTGCCGCTGCATTGGAAATGAGAGGTTTAGCTGGGGAATGCTTTAACAGGCATTACACAGCAGTGACGCACGGCCTGTTGGATAGTGCTCATCCCATATGACAACAGGCAGGTGTGGGGATCGAAAGAAACCCGCAGCCCTGGGTTTTACAGCGCAATCCTTGGTTCTCTTGAATGGCGAGAGTTATACATGAAACCGTTTGCAAAACTTAATCAAACCAATCTCTGCGGTACTTCTGTGCAGAGCCTCGATTTGTGCAACCATCAATTTGCGATGACGAGTGGCTCACGCTCAGATCTTGCTTCATATTTATGGAGAATGACAATTGTGTGACCTTGTCACCTTCGCACTCAATACCGCACCAGCCGTCTGGCTACCAGAAGGCCGGAAGCGTGCTGTGGCACGAGCACACGAGGAGATGTGTCTCTGCGTCAGTTGATGCCAGTGTTTACGAAGCAATGTGCCAGGTGGCGCTGATAGCGCCACACGTGTCGTTTCAGCTCATACTGGCCGCGATAGTACCTGATATCAAGCAGCAGCAGTTCTTAAAGATGCAATTCCCGGGAAAACCGGGAATTGTCTGGGAAATTTTAATTACCGGGAAAAATCGGGGAATTGTCAGGAATATTGTTAAAAAGCGAGCCCAGTCAGAGAAAATATGCCGGAGAGGCCGTCAAGTTCTTTGAGCAAAGAATTGTGTACTTGAAGGCAAAAAAATAGGCAATAAATTCTGCTTTTCCTCCTCATTCCTTTTTACAACGCCTACCCAGACACACACGCACACACGTGAAATGACCAGGGAGGATGGAAATGGCCCACCGAAGTGCGCCGAAATTACTCGAGGGCGCGCCTTGGAGCCAATAGTGGTAGTTTTAGACCACGTGTAGGCAAAAAGGAGAAAAATCAGTAGATTTTGTGGTATTATCACTGAATCAGCAGAATTTTGAAAAAATCAGTAGATCTGCTGATAAATCAGTAGGAGTGGCAACTCTGGCGTAGATAATGCAAAGATGGCAACTCCAAAAAAGAAGATAAACAAGGAGACGGGAGGAAGTACCTAGGAAGCAACAGCTAAGAGGGATTCTGGGGAATCTACGTCCCTACCGACCAAGCGGCTCGCCGTATACTGCCGTGAAGCCACACTCTTGTCCAAAACTTCTGTCTCAAGTGTGTCACACATTTTGAAAGAAATGAGCGGTTTTGCCTGGCGCAGCCTTTTAACAGCGTTGCGGGTTGCGGACGGACGTTGCGAGCGTTCAGGATTGCTAACCCTAATCACTTTTCTCGAGAGATGAAAACGCGTGAAAATTCGCATCCTTCATACGGTACGCACCAGTAATACCTTGAACTTTAGCACATGCATGAAATGCACCAAATAAGAAATCCGGGCGACGTTCGAGGACACAAATGCTTAGAAATCACCACTGTAGTCGAAGTAAAGAAACACGACGACACGGGCGTTTCTGCCGTCTTGAGAGTGCCGCCACGACATCGCCGCACGAGTAGGTGGATCTTCCCTTCTAGTACGTGCTGGGTTATGATAGCGACACACAATGAAAAATCACAGTCAAGGATAGCGCTTTTACGCAGAACGATGAGATGCACGCCGTCTACGACGACGATCACAACCGACGCCATGTTTGCGGAATAGAAGCAGCCGGCCCGCGACCGGCATGCAACGCGCGCGAACACTTCTCCTCGACTTGCGATTGGTCTGTCGTTGCGGTTGTTTGTTTCTTTGTTTCCAACGCAGCGGAGGGACGCACGCACGTGAACAACTCGTGCGTGCGTCCCTTCGTCGCTATATGGCAACTGAAGCCTCTCTCTTTGCTTCTCCCCGCGTTTTCGAGCAACCTCCTTGCTCCGCGAGTGCAGCTTGTGGCTCGCGCCGTCAGCGCCGTTATTTAGTGTCGCACAGGGAAGCGAGCTCGCTGCTCCGGTCGTCAGCGCGGTTGGCGGGCTGTGCCAAAAACTGCACTATAACCGGTATTTCCCTTCGCGCGTCTGCATTTTAAGCGGTATGTAATTACATGGAGTTCTATGGGAGGTGAACCGGTGGTTTAAAAAAACCGCGTTATACCCGGTCCTGCACTATAAGCGGTTACGTTGTAAGTGGTCTATACTGTACTTTCAAATAAACTCCGGTATATGTTACAGTTTTATTTATATTTTCAGTGACGACAGTGACTGCGTAAGCGGAAGTTCATTGTTTTTGAAGGGTGCCTCTTGGAGCGTTTCATGGTGTGCCGCAAGTGCCATGCCCCTTGCTGCAACACCAGAGATGTTGTCGGCACACTACTGATTGTCAACAGGAGACATGGTGGTGCCAGCCAAAGGTAAGTGGCAAAGCAACAGGCAATGGTTGCATTTGCGCAGCCATTCTCTTTGGAGCTGCTTCTCCTGCGACCATCTTGAGGAGCAACAAGTCCGTCAGCATTCAAGTCATCTCGGAGCGCACCTACAACAAGTGTCAGACTGGTAATCCGATGCCTGCTGTGAATTGCATACCTGCCAACTCTCCCGAATTTTCCGGGAGCCTCCCGAATTTTGATCACATCTCCCGATTGTATGGACGCGATCTCGGATCTCCCAAAAAATGTCCACCGTAATTTTATTTGTTTTTTTTTAATGCCGCCTTATTGCTATAATCATCACGCGTGTGTCATTGCGAGTTACTCAAGAGTAGGTTTAGGTTACTCCGGCGGGTTACCACGTGACAACTTAGAGCGGTAGCGTAAAACGAGGGTAGATTTTCAAAAGCCAAGGTACGAAACCTCTACTCCTGAAGTTGGAGCGCATTTTGGAACACGGCTTATATGACCATGGGTGCGCTAGGCTTCAGTTGGCTTTGTCAGGTCATCGAGTGAGGTGCGGGACGCAGCAGAACACTGAGCTTCTGCAAGGTCTCCGAGGCAAGAGCATTGCCCTTGCTGGGATGGACGCTGCGATTCGCCAGGATTCAGCGCAAAGTACTGCACCTACAGCTTCCACGAGGCAGTCACCAGGAAGGTCATCCATGTTGAGCAAGTGCAAGTTGGCGAGGTAACATTTATTAACTGAGGCAAACTAAATTATTGTAAAACTGATTTGCCTCTTGTTTACAACCACTGTTCCTATCTGCTTTAAATCTGATTGCATTTATGGAGGCCTTGCATTGATGCTGCAGTACATTGTCTGTTGGAAGAAATTAATGCATACACGTTGTGACCAGTCGGATGAGGTGACGGAAGGCAACGCCATGGAGAAGGTGGCATTTGTTTGTGGCTTCACCAAGCTGAAGCAGAAGGGCATACAGGCTACCATTCTGAGGCTTTCCTGAAGCCATTTGATTTCATACAAAATATGTTTACTTGGAGAATAAAAATTACTTGACACGTCAACTTGCAATTTTTTTTATTCAGCATGTTAGAACACACAATGCTTTAAAAGAATAGCACATATTGGCGTAAGGTGTGCCTCACTATCTGATATTGCAGTCAGTCCCACGCAAAAATCAATGCACTGGTTTAGAGAACTACTCCACGCTGGGACATGTTGGATCCAGCTCAGAATAGTTCCATAAACTAGTACTTCTTGCCCGGGTTGGTGGAGGTGGATGAGGTCAGCCGAAATCTGGGAAGCTGCTGCACCACTCAACACAGCGAAATCTCTGGGGAACCCTAAACCCCGTCGTCTTCCAAAGCGCGTATTGTCACGGAGTAAGGCCAAGAGACGGTAAATTATGAACTGAAAAGAAGGGTTTAATCAGCGAACTTGTGTCAAACAAAATAAAGAATGAGCGTCGAGACAGCAGAAAAGCAGGCGGCAATTTGGCGGCGTAACAGGAAGCGAGAGCGAGACCGACTCGACAAGGTCACGGGCAGCTCCTTTTTTAATGTTCGTCGGCATCGCGAAAATTCAGTCCAGAAGGTTCGAGCACCTTGTGTTCAGGGTGAGAATGAACAGGCACTTTGGAGAACAGGACGAAATGATAAAAGTTAGTAAGAATAAACGCAAATCTTCTGGAGTTCCGTGACCAAGCGCTGCTTGTTCGGCCCTGCGCACAGCAATATTGCATTGGGGTGACTGAGAACATGTAAGGCCTACAGGGCAGGATATCTAAAGCCACAGTATTCTTCTGATGGATAGGCATTCCTAATGGCCTTTACTACACAGGCAGGCAGGATCTTCCTGTTGTGCCTCCCAAGGCGGCGCCAAATCCACCTTGCAAACTGGTGGTATGCAACATACCTGTACCAGGAATAGAGAATCCAGATTGAACTCGGGTTTATGAAGTACTATTACAGCAGCAGGTGGGCCGTGATATTGACGCCCCCCCCTCCCCCCCCAACACCCACATAGCAGGTGCACTAGCACGCACCATGTAATGTGGAAGAACATGTCGGCTGCCCCCACGCATGCACTGTCTGCAGGTGCACCTGCTGTGTGGGCACTGGGAGGATGAAAAGGCCACAACCTGCCTTTTATTGCTGTTTCCACCGAAGTACAGTGTAATGATTATTCATTTGGAGTTGCCCACAATAAATTACATGAGCTTGGCCTACAATGTTCTGCATGCAGATCATATCTGCCCATGGTAGAATAAACTGTACCATCTCTTACAATAATGAATTGCACACAATGTAGACTCCTCGCTGCACTTACCAATTCCAACCTCGGATGACCTCCTTAGAATTAGAGGCCAGTTCCTGCACCAAAATCTGATGCCTGCTTGCCTCATTCCAAACTTAAACGGAGCTCTGTATGTAAGTGTTCGGTTATGCAAAATGATTTAGATGGAAACCGACCCATGTGTTAGTGTTTCAAATACCCGACACCACCCTGTGTTTGAAGGCCTTACCTGTGGGTTTCCCTGTTCCCGACCCCCGCAGGGAGCACCTGTGAAAGCAGGTGTTTGGAGAGTGGCGTCTCCACGGACCCCGAGCCATGCAGGTTCGCCTGCCCACGTCTGGCTGTGCGTGGCTTTCCCGTGTCCGGTGAAAAGGGCACCCTGGTGGTTGAACCGAGCCCGGGGTAGGTTTAAACCCTTCGGGGCCCCCCGGGGGGGCAATACACCACTTCGGCCCCGGCTTCTTGTAGACGGTAGTCCTGGTAAGGCCCGGCCAGGATGATTCAGTCTAGTCGCCTTTTCTTCTCCTATCCCCTCCGATTTTTCACTTTTACCTTTCCTGTTTCTTTTACTTCTATCTCATTTCTCTTACTCCTTTTTCACCCCTCTTTGGCGGCAAGGGCTAACCTTGGGTGGCAATGGACCTCTGTCTTGACTCACACTTGGGTATAGTTTCCCGGCAGCATTGTTAGCGTAACGTCTCCAGCCAAGCCCTCCTTGTTATGGTGCGTTACCTAACCCCTTGTTGGGCTCGATGGTAGGTGGTGAACCACGGATTCTGTACACTCTTCGCCCTCTTATGGCACCTTACCCCTCTAAACTCCGTTCCGGTCATGCCCTTAAAAGGCGCTGCCCCGAACAAAAAAAACATCGACAAAGAATGTGAAGCACAAACATTTACAAAGTTTTTCATCGTTCATTCGCTGGATGAACAAAAACCTGTTTCGAAGCTGTCGCCTTTTATTGTAGCAAAGGTGCTAGAAAACCTTGTAAGGCTTTCCTACAAGGCAAAAAAGCAGCACACTGGAGACCTTCTCCGAGGAAGTGAATACAAAAAAAAACAAAGTGACACACTCCTTAAACTGACTACCATCGTTGACGTGAAAGTGTCGGTGAGCCCTCATCGCTCACTAAATACTATCCGTGGAGTCCTCTCTGAGGATGACTTCTTGCACACTAGTGAGGAAGAACTCCTCGAAAGACTCCAAGGTGCCGGTGTCGTCGCCGTAAAACACATTATGTTTACGAAAGATGGCAAACAAATCCCTTCGAGACACGTTATCCTGACTTTTGAAAGGCACACTCTCCCCGAGAGTGTGCCTTACTTGAACTGCCGCATCCGCCCTTACGTCCCCAACTCCCAGCGGTGCTTCCGTTGCCAGCATTTCGGTCATGGAACACGCAGCTGTCGAGGGAAGGAGACGTGTGCGAAGTGCGGTAGTCAGGGTCACGTTTCCAATACTTGCGAGGCGGCTGTGGCCCACTGCGCTAATTGCGGTGGACCACATCCTGCTTATTATCGTGCATGTCCCCCTTGGAAGCTAGAAAAGGACATTCTTACCATCAAAGTAAAGGAAAACATACCATACCCAGAAGCCAAGAAGCGGTTCTCCTTTTTGTCAAAGGGGAGTTTGGTCGAGGTGGTGCGCAGGGGCCCTGCACCGCGCTCGGAGTCAAGGGCCACCCAGGTCTCTCCCGAGATCTTGGCGGCCGACTGCAGGGCCCCAGCTCCCCGACAGGAGCAGCGGCTGCCTCCTCCGGTCCCTGGTGGTAGAACGCGTGCTGCTTTCCTTCCAGGGACAGGCCGGCAGCAGCCGCGCCTGCCCCCTCTCCTAGGTCACCCCCTGGGGAGACGGAGCGAGCCTCTTGCTCTTGCTCGCTAGAGAGGGCCCCCCTACCGAAGGAGAAGCATGTTGTCCATGCAGCTCCTGGGAAAGGAGGGAACCAGACGAGCTCACACGACCCGACGCCCAGTTCGTCTGCAACCCCCCCAGCCGATCGTGGTCAGAGTTTGCCCCCCCCCCCCCCCCCCCCCCCGCACACCTGGCCGAACAAGTGCTGTTCTAAAAACATTGGATACCTCTCAGGAGGTGGAGATGTCGACAGATGCTGACAATCTGTCCACTCCTGAGTCTGACCAGGGCAATATAAAGTGAGAAACGCCCTCCAGTAAACATAAAATGAATAAGAAGCCTGTAGTCCCACCCAAATGATGATCCCAATGCCTTTCACCTAGTTTGTATTGACTCTACAGTCTTACTTATTTTACTAGGTTTATTTTTCAGTTGCATATTTACATACCTTTTATAGATGACTAAGTTACATTTTATGCAATGGAACTGTCGCGGTAATTTAAGAAATGATGATGTCAATTATTTCGTGGATCAGCTTCAGCCCATTGCTCTCGCCTTGCAAGAAACCCATCTTCACTCTCATTCATTTAACATTTTAAGACGTCATCAGGTTTTTAGGAAAGATCGCCCCTTTTCCTCCCCTTCTGGCGGTATTGCAGTGGTCGTGCAGAGTGGAGTTGCTTGCTCTCAAGTTCCCCTCTGCACGCCACTGGAAGCTGTTGCAGTACGTCTCTTTCTGGACCGCCTTGTAACAATTGTTTCTTTATACTTACCACCTAAGCTGCAGGAACTTATAGGACAGCTCCCGCAACCTTTTTTAATTTTGGGCGATTTTAACGCTCATCATCCTATGTGGGGTAGTACCCGTCAAGACTCTTGTGGTGGTATGATTGAACGTCTTTTATTGTCTTCGGGGCTGTGCCTTCTTAACGGGAGAGAACCAACCTTTTCTAGTGCGGCACACAACTCATTCACATCCATTCATGTTCCTATTGCTTCACCTTCATTACTTCCTTGCTCCCCCTGAAAGGTTCTTCAAAACCTTTTCGGAAGTGATCATTATCCAGTTGTTTTAGAGAGTACCGTTCCATTGCCTAATCTTTTAAAGCGGGTCCCTAGGTGGAAGTTAGACAAGGCAGACTGGGCACTTTTTAATCTTCACTCCACTTTAGATCCTTATTTCTTCTATGTCCCCTGAGAACGCTACTCTTTATGTTACTGAGCAGATACTCAAGGCTGCTCAGCAGTCCATTCCAGAAACATCTGGTGATATACCCAAAAAATGTAAACCTTGGTGGGATAAGGAGTGTGCCACAACCCGGGCGGACCAAAATAGGCCATGGGGCAGATTTCGCAGATACCCCACTTCAAGCAACCTTGTAGAGTTTAAGCGACGAAAAGCCAAGGCTCGTTGGACTAGGAAACAGGCAAAGCGGAAGTCGTGGATGAAGTATCCCTCTTCCTTAACCAGCTTCGTCCCGGCCAAAGAGGCCTGTGACAGATACAGGAAAGTAAATGGGGATTATAGGTGCTTTGCCATTTCAACGTTTAATGCTCCTTCTTCGTCACTAAAAGATATTGGTAACATACTCAGTGAACATTTTTATAATTCATCTAGTTTGGCCAACTACAGTGTCACCTTTGAAAAGTTAAAAGCTTGTGTGGAACAAAAAAGCTTGTCATGTCAAGAGGAAATTCAGCATCTTATAACCAACCATTTACACAGTGCGAGCTTGAGATGGCTCGTAATGTGACAAAGCTCTCTGCCCCTGGTCCCGATGGAATTCATTATGAAATGCTGCGCCGCTTTTCTCCAGAATCCCTTGAAAACCGTCTCCTGTTTTTTAATATTTTGTGGGAAAAGGCATGTTTCCCTCAGGCTTGGAAACACTCACATATCATCCCCCTCCTAAAGCCTTATGCTACCGCCCAATTACACTGACAAGCTGCCTTGGGAAGACATATGAAAGGCTTATAAACAGGCGACTGGTCTACATGTTAGAAAGCCAGAGGGTCTTTGATAACAGTCAATGTGGATTCCGCCAAAGTCAATCTACCCTTGACCACCTGGTACGCTTGAAAGCTGTGATACGTGAGGCATTTGTAAACCGGCAGCATTTGGAGAAGCATATGATACAGCGTGGAGGTATGGGATTCTCCGAAACCTGTATGCCTGTAACATCCGGGGCCGTATGCTGCGAAGCATAAAGGAATATCTGACAGACGGGACTTTCCAAGTTTGTCTCGGCTCAGCCCTATCAGATTCCTTTGTTCAAGAAAATGCAGTCCCTCAAGGGGTGCTTTAACTGTGACTTTGTTTTTGCTAACAATGAATTCACTCGTACAACTTCTGCCACCTTCTATTTCATAGTCTCTTTATTCTGATAATATACAGATTTCATTATCGTCTTGTAACCTTTCTAGTCGTGAGCACCAGTTCCAGTTAGCTGTAAACAAACTGTCCAAGTAAGCCGACGAAAATGGGTTCAAGTTTTCTGCTTCGAAAACGGTCTGTGTGCCTTTTTCTTTGCGACGCGGGTTGTCTTTGGATCCATCCCTGGAATTGAATGGAACCCCTATCCCAGTTAGAAGGGAGCACCGATTTCTTGGTGTAATATTTGATAAAAAGCTTAACTTTATTTCCCACCTTAAAGCGCTGAAGCAAAAATGCCTTCAGTCCTCAAACCTTTTGAAAGTTTTATCTCACGAGTCTTGGGGGTTTGATAGAAAATGTATCCTGCAGTTATACAATGTCCTTGTATGATCCCGTCTTGACTATGGTGCAGTAGTGTATGGATCGGCTCGGCCCTCTGCCCTTTAGATGTTGGACTCGGTTCATCATCTCGGCTTGCGACTGGCAACAGGAGCCTTCCGGACGTCGCCCGTCCTCAGTTTGCATGCAGAATCCAAAGAGCTGTCCCTGAACAAACGACGTACATATCTTAGTCTAACATATGCTTACAAGATTGTGGCCGACCCCCAGCATCCGACGTACTCTTCACTTACAAGGTCGAGGTTCTTTCGCCTTTTTGAAAATAAACCAAGCATTGTGACATTGTTGAGCTTCCGTATTGAACATCTTCGCACTTCTCTGCACCTTCCTCAAGACCAGGTTGGCCTTGTTAGGAAAGTCAACGGTATTCCACCTTGGAAAGCACAGTGAGTTGAATCCGACTGGTCTCTCGCGAAGTTCAACAAGCACGGCATTTCCCATGCTGTAATTAAGCAAGAGTTTGGTGAACTGCAGACTAAGTATGATGGTTATCTTCATGTTTATGCAGATGGTGCCAAGACCTCCTCTTTTGTCGGTTGTGCTGTGTATTCTGAAAGCTTCTCCAAGGTTCAACGACTTGATTGTATTGCCAGCATTTTTACTGCGGAGCTCTATGCGGTATCAATGGCGATCGAATGCATTATCAATAGGAAAATACTGAGGGCGGTCCTGTTGACTCTCAAAGTGTGATTCTTGCAGTTTGCTCTCTTAAAGACACTAAAAATATGCTTGTACAACAGATTCAATATAAAATTAACTCTGCTTTGCATGGAGGTCAAAATATAAAATTTTGTTGGGTACCCAGTCACATTGGCATACAAGGCAATGAAGAAGCCGATAGAAGCCATCGTTATATACTTCTGTTGCCAGGAAATCTTAATGGCAACAACTTCTTGGTCGTCGGTGCAAAACTGCGTGGCGTCGATTTGGCAGCGTGGTGAGTCTGTGCTCACATCGATCATTGCTCTGCCTGTGGGACCCTCCCCAAACCTTTTGTTAGTGATGGATGGGCACGAATACGCCTCAAACCCTGGTAATGCAATCTCTGTCGTGTTAGTTTCCTGCAGGAGTAGGATATCTGGGCGTTCCGATGGTACATCGAGCCCTGAGCTCCGCCACCCTCTTGCGCAGCCCCTGGCAATTCCACTGCAGAACTTTTTGCATGATTTTGCAGGGAAAAAGGACTTGAGCGTTGTCATGCGGCTCACTGGAGGGGTACAAAAGCTATCATCATCATCCCATAGGGGTACAATTTCGGTCTCGCTCACAAATCGAAAAATTCGCATTAAGCGCGAAACACATGTACAAAGAAACCGTCCAATCCGACGTCCGATCAGGCAATACGACAGTTGGAGGCAAGGGTTTTCAACGCTCTCCGGTGCTACAAAAACCCTTGGCCTCGAAGGCCATTCCGGCAGTTCGCACGTCGGATCGGACGGTTTTGTCGTACATGTGTTTCGCGCTTTTTTACATAAATATTGGGCAAACTTCTTTTTTTTTGGACGAACATTAGTTTTGAGACATGGCTGTCCTAATTGGGTATAAAAAATTTTTTTTTTCTGGTTTCAGTGTTTCTTTAAAAAGTACAATATTACAACAAATTAACAGGCGATTGTGATGTTTTTTTTTCTAGCGCTACAAGTAGACCCGATTATATCGAACCATCCCTTGTATCAAACTATTTGTGAACAGACTGGAAGCTGCAATAATAATGCATAGCGAAAAATGTGGTTACATTGAACGGGAATTGCAGCGTCTCTTGATAGATCGAACTGCTCTGCAAGCTGGCTTTCGCCCCGTTGCGAGCAACTCGTTGGGGAAAAACCAGCTTGCAGAGAAAGCTGGCTTTTTTTCTTTTGGGGCAACTGCTTTAATCGGCCAAAAGGAGAAAAAAAATTATCTTTTCTGTAGGGAATGGGGAGAGGGTGAGCCGGTGAGACCTTGAAAGACAAAAAGCGGCCTCTGAATGGCCGCATGGAGCGTCCCTCATGACCTACAGACGCTCCTTTGAGTGTAAACGTTTCTAGATGTGGCGTGCTTGTTCGTTGTCAAATTCATTAAAACTTTTATATAGAATTACTCGCTAGATCGAACTGGTGGACGGGTTTTTCCGAGTTCGACATAAACGGGTTTGACTTAACAGCAGTGCATATGGATAATTTCCATGTTCTTTTCATTTTCAGATTTCTTCGACATGTACATCGGACAAGCACCCTCGGATGTGTCGCCTAGGAAACAAAAGGGTTTCATGAACAAGTATATCGCGGAGCAACTTCAAGATATCGACAGGAAGCTGCAGTTTTAAGCTACTTTTGGGAATTTAGTTTTCCTGTTGATATGATGACAGTGCGTGGCTATTTGCTTTTGTCATGCCTGTAACATATCTGTTTCGTCAACTGTACCTGCTTTCGAGACCTTGTTTTAGTTTCTTGCATGCTCTTTTCAGGAAGTGTGTCAGGATGTCATTTCAGTGGAGAGCCTCGGAATACGAAAGGCAGACCGGGGGTTGCCAGCTTACCTTTTTCTGAACAGGAATCGTATGGGTGGACCTGCATAACGGGTCAATCCGCGTAACAGGTCGATCCGTATCTGGTCGGGTGCTCTTGTTTGTTACCTGTTCACATATAGGACGACCTGTTTGCATACGGGCCCCGTATGTCCATAACATTGTGTGACCCAAACGGGTCAATCTGTATGAAAATTATATGTGTTTCTTCTGTAAGGGTTATCACAGCGAGGGGGCAATGAAGGAAATATGGCTGTACTTCTGAGACAGCAATGTTCGCTTATATGTCCCGCCCTACTTAACCGGACACATTTACGCCAAGATCATCATTCATCCGAACACTAGGTTTACTAAAAGTGGGCTATCTTTCTGTGTTTTCAAAGAAAATAACAAATCGAGCCCAAAATGGGGGGTGGGTTACCGTTCGGGGAAGGGGCATCTCGGAATTTTACGGCAGTGTCCCCCCTTAACTTTCTGCCCCCCTTGTCTTGCTCGTCCATGTGCAGACCAAGAAGAGGCACCGTCCCTCGAGGGGTCAGTGCAGACCTTCGCGTGCGGGGACTGCGACAGCGTCTTCGCTTCCCTCGAACACTTCCAGGGACAATGGAAGAAGATGCACGAGAGGAGAGGAGGTGGGCACCAATGCAATTACTGTCCCTACTCCAGCGATATTAAACAAAACCTAGTCATGCACGAGCGCACCCACACGGGACAGAGGCCTTTCGTGTGCGGCACCTGCGGCAAGGCTTTCACGCAGCAGGGCAACTTGACCAGGCACCAGAATGTGCACACGGGCGAGCGTCCTCACGAGTGCGCCGAGTGCGGGCAGAAGTTCGCCCAGCCGGCAGACTTGAGGCGGCACGAAAGCACGCACACCGGAGTGCGGCTCCACGTCTGCCCAGAGTGTGGTAGAGGATTCGCTCAGACAAGTCACCTCTCAAGGCACAGGCAAACCCATTCCGGCGAGAAGCCCTATGCCTGTCACCTGTGCTGCTACAGGGCCTCTGATTTAAGCAGCGTGACGAGGCACCTGATCGGGGCACACTCAAAAGAGTATCCCCACAAGTGCGGGGACTGTGGCAAAGGGTTTCTGTCCCCAGGTGAACTCGGAAGCCACATGAGGAGGCAGCACGCCTGCGGTGACCAGAAGCAGTAGATGAACTCAATGATGGGGGAGGGGGAGGAGGCACACGGGGTTGCGCTCCTAACGACACTGGGGAAACCCAAAAACAAAAGTGACACTGGCGAGATTTTTTTTTTTAATAAATACATTGTATATAGATTGACATTGGATTACTGTTCCGTACGAGCGCATCGTCTGAAAGGCCCTCTTTGCCCAACCGTGGGTGTAAGGATCGACGAAGGCGATCCTTACACTTTTGCTAATGCTCTCGTGCTAACGGTGGACCGTTAGCACGAGAGGGAACTGGCTGCTAGGAAAGCGTTGGCGAACACTTCCCTCGGTGGAGGGCGACTTGGATAGACTGGTGTACTTTGCGATGCGAGGGTCAAAACTCGTGCTTCCAGCCGAGAGAACCGGAACGTGCGTTTCCGGTCGGGAGAGCTATCTAAGAGTGCGGTGGTTGACTGGGCAATGTTGGACCACGTCTGGCGGAATGATCGTCGGCGCTGTCCACATCGGGGACGGCTGTCCGACTCGCCTCACGAGTTCTAAGGAGTCATTTGCTCGCGTCCGAACCTGCCTGACGTTTGGCCGTGAGACATACGCAGATCGTGGAGCATCACACAGGAAAATTAAGCGATTTCCCCATGGTGGAGAAGTGAGCCGACTGGTTGTGCACTCTCGGCCACTGGGAAACGCCCGTTTCATGACGCATCGGAGAATCGCAGGTCTACCAAAAAGGGGGGGGGCCAACAAGTGATTTCTAGTGGTTCTACTTTGTGCTGGAGCTCGAGAGCTCACGCTCCGTAATCGAACCCCGTCAAGGGACTCCGAGGGACAATGCCCCCGTAATCGGGATTTTATCCTACGAGCCAGCCAAGTATGGCTAACCCCCGAGCACCTCCTTCCCACCTCGCACTAGAGAGTAATCTTTGCAGCTCGGTTTCGCTATGTACCTTTATTCGCTACGACAGTATTAAATCATTTATATAAAAGTAACCCCCTCCTATCGAGGTAGTCGGTGTGGCCAAGGGAACCGACTTGGCCTCCGACGCAAGTACCACCCAGCTTCCCACAGCAAAGTTCGTCAGCCGATGCGGACATTCCGGGGCGACGCAAGGCATGAACCAAGGAACCCGTACTGGGGAGCTCAATCTTGCTGGAGAGCTATGCTTTGGTTTATCCCCAAGCGTAGCCCTTTATTTCATAGCACCTAAAAAACTCGCTGGAAGCCAGTGCTGGAAGCGAACTGGCGAAGGAAACGCAAGCCACTGGCAGAGACGGGCCTGCCGCTACGGTGAACAAAAGTGAGCGCAACTACATTGGTCAGGTAGCATTTTAAATAGACAGCAAGGTCCTTTAAAGTTCAAATTATTTCTTCCAATAAATATTTAACTCGGGTTCAGTTTGTACATATCAAATTTTTCTTAACGACAGAGTTGCCAACCAGTAGTTGTTTCTCCAAACAAGCTAGCTTCATTACAACACAAATTATGTAACACTGGTACAAAACACGGCCATTACGTTAAGGACAAAGGCTACGCGCCTTGTGTATGATGCACTATACTTTGCGTTGCGTTAGAATGCCTTGCCAGGGCCGTGTCAGCCCGTAGCCATCCCCTGCGGTTCATCCGAGGATAGAAGGGTAGCCCGCTATGCACCCAGTGGCGGATCCAAGGGGGGGGCGGTGGGGGCGATCGCCCCCCCCCCCAAACGCCTCGCCATTTTTTTTTGTTTTTTGTGGAGCCATTGTTTTTTTATTCTTTTTGTCTTTTTGCTCGCTTTTGAAGCACATCCCTTGGTACGCCAAAAAGTGTGGCGGCAACGCGAAGGGAGTGACGCTGTTGCTTCACTTTCAAGAGCATTCGTAGTGTTACTTATGCGCCATGAAGCCCCTGTTGTCTTTCTTTTGTACGTTTTGATCCTCCTAGACACCGAGAGGAAAATATGACTCAGGAACAACCAGGAAACTGGTACATTATTGACACACGCGTCATACAATGCTACATTGTCGCGTTTTGTCTCGCGCGTATCCCGTTACGCGAATAATTATTTCCGTAAAAAAAAGCACCCTGAACACTCAAATTTGGTCTGCATGAAGCGAATAAAACTTAGGAATGAAACTAAATTATACCTTGGTAGAAAGTCTGTGCCAACCGGGGCGTACTTCTCGAAGCGAAATCTCGCGCGGAATTATGCACCTCTTTGATGGGCGGTAAACTCGGCAATCTCAAATCTGCATTTCTTTTTCTCCGGAAAGGACTTGCCAAAGGCAGTCATTTATGGCTCACGCAAAGTGAACAGGCTAAGGCACGTCTCAGTGAAGCTTGATACTTGTGTCTAGGTGATAGCTGGCACTAAAAAACTTTCGTTGGATGCCTTCACTCCAACTGTCGCATTTTGCCCCGCGTCTCATTTGGCCCATCTTACCCTACTTCACTTTGGACAAACGCAATCTATTAGTTTTGGAGCTTCCCCCACACGAGTGTTCGTGCGGTCGAGGTGTTTTTTGACATATCAGCAGTAGTAACCAGGCATTGTGCGCAGCTTTTATCGGCGCCCAGCATGCTCGGGCTCACAAGCGCTTAGCTTCGAAAGCATACACTGTAAAAAGTAACCGTCAAATTTACGGCGCTATACGCTAATAAAAACTACAAGTACGCCGTGAAGAGGAATTATCTGAAATGCACCGTAAACGAGCAAAAAAATCGAGAGGGGAACGCAAAACTTCATGGAGCAAGAAAACAGAAAGAAAAGACGCGCTTCGCTAATTGGTCACCACTCTTGACCTTTCGGAAGCTGCGGGAACCCAGAGAGTCTCCTTTCGCCCCTTCACCTCCTTTCTTTGTCCGCGCCAGCCGCGCCAACGCAGAGCGTAACTGCCTTAACTGAAAAAGGAAAAAAAAGAGAACTAACAGCAAACAGTAGAGCAACAATGCGACTAGCTAGAAGCATAAACAAAAGAAAGGAACGTTGGTTGGGACAACGCGGAAAGAAGTGGAAAAAGCTGACGTTCAGTTCATTTTCCCGCCTTCCCACCCGTCTCCGCGCAGTGGCGGATCCAAGGGGGGGGGCGGTGGGGGCGATCGCCCCCCCCCAAACGCCTCGCCATTTTTTTTTTTTTTTGTGGAGCCATTGTTTTTTTATTCTTTTTGTCTTTTTGCTCGCTTTTGAAGCACATCCCTTGGTACGCCAAAAAGTGTGGCGGCAACGCGAAGGGAGTGACGCTGTTGCTTCACTTTCAAGAGCATTCGTAGTGTTACTTATGCGCCATGAAGCCCCTGTTGTCTTTCTTTTGTACGTTTTGATCCTCCTAGACACCGAGAGGAAAATATGACTCAGGAACAACCAGGAAACTGGTACATTATTGACACACGCGTCATACAATGCTACATTGTCGCGTTTTGTCTCGTGCGTATCCCGTTACGCGAATAATTATTTCCGTAAAAAAAAGCACGCTGAACACTCAAATTTGGTCTGCATGAAGCGAATAAAACTTAGGAATGAAACTAAATTATACCTTGGTAGAAAGTCTGTGCCAACCGGGGCGTACTTCTCGAAGCGAAATCTCGCGCGGAATTATGCACCTCTTTGACGGGCGGTAAACTCGGCAATCTCAAATCGGCATTTCTTTTTCTCCGGAAAGGACTTGCCAAAGGCAGTCATTTATGGCTCACGCAAAGTGAACAGGCTAAGGCACGTCTCAGTGAAGCTTGATACTTGTGTCTAGGTGATAGCTGGCACTAAACAAAAACTTTCATTGGATGCCTTCACTCCAACTGTCGCATTTTGCCCCGCGTCTCATTTGGCCCATCTTACCCTACTTCACTTTGGACAAACGCAATCTATTAGTTTTGGAGCTTCCCCCACACGAGTGTTCGTGCGGTCGAGGTGTTTTTTGACATATCAGTAGTAGTAACCAGGCATTGTGCGCAGCTTTTATCGGCGCCCAGCATGCTCGGGCTCACAAGCGCTTAGCTTCGAAAGCATACACTGTAAAAAGTAACCGTCAAATTTACGGCGCTATACGCTAATAAAAACTACAAGTACGCCGTGAAGAGGAATTATCTGAAATGCACCGTAAACGAGCAAAAAAACCGAGAGGGAAACGCAAAACTTCATGGAGCAAGAAAACAGAAAGAAAAGACGCGCTTCGCTAATTGGTCACCACTCTTGACCTTTCGGAAGCTGCAGGAACCCAGAGAGTCTCCTCTCGCCCCTTCACCTCCTTTCTTTGTCCGCGCCAGCCGCGCCAACGCAGAGCGTAACTGCCTTAACTGAAAAAGGAAAAAAAAGAGAACTAAGAGCAAACAGTAGAGCAACAATGCGACTAGCTAGAAGCATAAACAAAAGAAAGGAACGTTGGTTGGGACAACGCGGAAAGAAGTGGAAAAAGCTGACGTTCAGTTCATTTTCCCGCCTTCCCACCCGTCTCCGCGCCATGTTGTCCTCGTTCGTTTGTGGCATTCCCGGATTTTTGTGCACCTGAAAATTTGGAGCGGAAGGCAACTGGATACTCGAGGCAGGTATTTCACTATCAATCTGCTGCTTGATTGGCAAGGATAGTGTAATGGTGGCATAAATACAACACTCTAAAAGATGTTTACTTGCAGAATTTGTAGTTTCTGTTCAAGCACGCTTGATGGTTGTGCAATTCGATGAGCACGTTTTCAGCTCTCGAATTCTTCAGTGTGTGGACGAAGGATGCTGTCGCCAGTTTGTTACGTATGATGCTCTCAGGTGTCATATTTTGAGAAGACATAGGCATTGGTACGCCTAAGGGAAGTTTGGTTTGTTTCGAGGAGTTTGGAAAGCTTTCAGTGCACTTTGCCACCATGCCTAGAGGAGTGCCACACAAGGGAGGCTTTGCTAAAACATCTAAAAGGCCACATCACCGACAGCATTTTGTTTTCGTGTTCGTGCTCCAACTGTCAGAAGGTGTGAAATCATAGTTCGATCACGGCACATTTGAACTGTGCGCATTTACGAGTGACGGGTTTCTTGGGCGACGGCGCATCGCCTGCAGGCCCGCTTCAGGT